AAGAGGCCGCACCGCCGACCAAGGTCGAGGAAGACCCGCTCGAGACGACTGCGCCGGACGTCGAGAACGAAGCTGTTGCGATGGACGACGATAAGGAGGACGACGGGATGTACACCGATCCTGGTGCGCCGGCCCCATTGGGTGAAGGCGCGCCGATGGGATACTCGGCTGAGCCATCGCCTGTCGCGCCCTCTCCGGCGTACATTGTTGAAGAACCCGAAGCTGCCGCTTCACCTGCGCGTACGGCAAGGGAAGAGTCGGTTGCGGTCGCGGACGGGACGGTTGACAAGGCGTTCGTTGTTGAGGACGATGAGGAGGCGGACGAGGTTGAGAGCGTTGTTAGTCCTGCGGAGGTTGAGGAGCCTGGCGAGGGTGAGGTGAAAGAGCCGGGCCTGTCGCCTGTTGAAGAGGAGGAAGAAGACGAGTTGCCCGATGATACAAGCGTCGCTCAAGTCGAGCCCGTAAGTCCATGTATACCCTCAGCCCTCCACAGCGTACTCATGATTTTTGTCAACAGCCACAGGATGACCATGTCCCGCCGCCCGTCATGCCCTACATCCCGCCCGTCGCAGCCCGCGCGATCGGCGAAGACGTCTTCGGCAGGCCCGGCATGCCGTTCGCGGCGCCCAAGTCCACGACCGCAAATGGAACCTCCATGCCAAGACGCGTCGCGAGCGGATTGTTCACGCCTAAATCCGAGGCCAGCGGGCTGTTCACGCCGCTCGAGGGCAGCGACGCCAGTACCAGTCCGAAAGACCAGAGCCGCGAGGACTCGCCCACTGTCGAACGCCCGCACTCACCCGTGGTTGAGCAGCGCCCGCCGTCGCCCGTGGTCGAGAGGCACCATGATCAGCATTCGCCGACGCCGGCGGAGAAGGAGGAGATGAGAGCTGCGATGAGGGAGGTTGAGAGGGGCGCGCATGAGGTTTATGTGGGCGCTGATGAGGATGATGGGGAGGATGCGCCTAGTCCTGCGCTTCCGAAGGAGTCTGCTGAACACGTCGCGCAAGAGCCGGGTTTGGAGCAGCAAGAGCCGCAACTGGCGCCGGAGCAGCAAGAAGAGGCGTTCGCGGGCACGGACGTGTTTGCTGGGTTCGAGGATTTGCCGGAGTTCAAGGGGTTGGAGGCTCAGAGTAGCGACGCGGATTTGGCCGCGCTGCAGGCATTCTTCGCCAATACGGGCCCCGCTGAGGCGGACGCGGCTTCCATAGCTGAAGTCCAACCTACCGACGCCGACATCGTACCAGAAGCGTTCTCCCTTCCCGACGAAGCTCCCGAGACGGCTGCCGCTGCTGCTGCGGCAGTGAGCGAGCCTGAGCCACACACCGTCACTGTGTCGCTTGAAGGAGACGCGCCTGAGGTCAAGAGCGTGGCTGTTGAAGATGATCCGGCGCTCGAAACGGACGAGACGGAGGTCGGTGTACAAGAGGCGAAGATGGACGAGGAGCTTGGTCTTACGCAGGAGGATGTCACCGAGGACCGGGATGCGCAGGATGGCCTCAAGGGACTTGATCCGAAACTTATCGAGGAAGCTGGCGACCCGTTCAAGCTTATGGGCAACGCGAGCACTGTCGCGCCGGGCGCTGTGAGCTCAGGTGATGCTACGCCCGAGGAGGAGGAAGAGGCGGAGCGTGAGAAGTCGGAGGAGGACAAGCTTGATCCGTTGTCTGTGGATGATGGGCTTGTGTTGGATGAGGTCGCGCTGTACGTGTCGTTCCTCGCTCTCTCAGTATATCTGACTGATCATCGTGATAGTGTTGCGCAATTGGGGCCTCAGCCTCAGGACGAGGCTGCGGTTCCGAAGGAGCACACGGCAGAAGAGAAGGAAGAGGAAGAGCCTAAGCCGGTCTCTAAGGACTTTGCTGGAGATGCTACCCCTGCGCCTGTGGATGAAAGCCTGTTGAATGGTGAACAGGAGCAGTCGGAGGACGCTGACAAGACGCCCATCGCTGCACTCCCGCTCCTCGAGGAGGAGGAACGAGCCGAAGAACAAGCTACACCCGGCGAGGCTAAAGAGCAGACAGCGTCGCAACAGACCGAAGTTGCTGACGACGAGGAGAAGACCGAGGTCGCCGCCGTCGAGGAGCGCCCGGAAAGCACACCATCTGCGGAGGATTCGGATGAGCGCTCGAAGTCTCGTAAGCGCAAGCGCCTTTCGGACGAGCCAGCGCGACCGCGCGTCACACGCTCCGCATCTTCCACGACCGTCAACGGCAAGAACGGCGCACCGAAGTCCAAGGGCAAGGGCAAAGCGAAGGCCATCGTTGAGGAGGACGAGGGCGCTAGCGATGCCAGCTCAGCACTTGTTCATGGTCTACTTGATCCCAGCTCGCGTGCAGGCTCCGTCTCATCCGTCGACACCGATGATCGCCGCCCACCACTCGTGCAAGTTGACGCACACACCGAATTCATCATGCATCAACACGGCCGCCCTCGCGCTGCTCCGACGAACCTTCCTCAGACCATCGCCCAGGCTCAGGCGGCGCAAGCTCAAGCGCGCACCAAGATTGTTGCCACTGTCATTCCTCAAGCCGCTCCCGCCGAGCCTTCACGCTCACGCGCTGCCTCCGAAGAACCGGCCTCTGAGCCGGAATCGCCTGAACCTGCGCCCTCTACGCCGCCCATGCAGTCTGCGTCTGCACCACCGCCTTCGACCGAGAATGGCGCAGCCCGCCCTGCGCCTCCCCGCCGTATCCCCAGCAAGAACACACCCGTGACCCGCGCAAACTGCCGCTTCCATACTATCTCCATCCCCCGCGAGGGTGGCGGTCGCGCGCAGTTCGTCGTGCCGGGATGCTCAATGGGCGACGCGAAAGTGATCAAGGAAGAAGACATCCGGGACGAAGGCTTCGCCACCATGGCTGACCACGCGCGCATGCTACCAGACATCGAGAACCTCGACCTTGACGCGTACCTCGTCGGCAATCTCCGCAAACTCGTCGGCGTCGACCTTCTCCGCGAGAACGAAGTGTTTTATCTTCCTGGGGAGGAAGAGGAGCCGCCGCGCAAGAAGAGGCGTCGGTATGCGAGGAAGAGCACGCTCGATCGTGTGCGGACGCAGTCTGGCGGGAGCAAAGGTGCATCGCAGAATCAGTCTCGTGCAAGTACGCCTAGCGGAAGTACGGATGGTGGTTCCGTTGCGGGCTTCGTGCGCCGTGCGGGTTCGCGCTCGGCTGCGTCTAGCGTTGCTGATGGGTACAGCACGCACGAGGAAGAATCAGAGGCGGAAAGCGCTGCACCCCAACCAAAGGCTTCGCGCCCGCCTGTATCCGACGCTGGATCGCAGTCGACGTCTGCGTCTTCTGTCAAGTCCCCGCGCAAACGCACACTCTCGACGCGCCGCGGTACGCGCACCTCTCGTCGCCTGAACCCGGATGCGGCAGAGTTCGCTCCAGGCCATGTGGAGGCGGCGCAAGAGGAACTGGATAATGAGGACGACGTTGCGCCGGAAACGCGTAGGAAGAGGAAGGCGACGCGCGGTGCGAAACGCACTCGGACGATGGAGGACGTGCCTGCGGAGGGACCCCGTCCGAAGCGTACGCGCACGAATACGAATTTGAGGAAGAGCATGTCTGTGAACCAGGTGAATGGGAAGTCGTAGTGGGACGTGCATGAGAAGGACAAGATGTTTATTCCGTTTGTTTGTCGTGATTGCTTGCAGACTCGCTTTGCTTCTTGCTTACCGTATCGTAGTTCATTGATTGCTAGTTCAGTTCCGTGTCATTGAATCGCTGTTTTCTTGTGTATCATAATCCGTTTCTGCTACATATCAGACTGGTCTTGGAATCTCTATTGCTCGCAACCCGGACACCTTTCAAGTCGTGGCAAATCCCTTGGCAGTTTCTTTCAATCAGTAGGACGTAATCTTTCATTGTGTGAACCTCTCGGGGTGTTCGATGTCTGACTTATAAGTCAAAGCATCTGGAATACCAGATAGCGACCAATATTACTCATACACATAGTAAGGCGAGATCGAAGGATCAGATTGCGAGCGGGTGAACATCCTGTATCTCCGAGCTAGCACGACGGCTACCGTTCCTATCATGGGAGGAAGATTAGGTTATATACGTAGCGCAGCAGCTGAAACACGCACCCTTCGTCAGAAACCCAATGTAGCCCTTTGGGCTTCTCCAACGACCCGCGCACTCTCACATCATCTCGGCTTTCAGCGTTGGGGTCTTGTGGCAGGACCACCACCTCGAAGTCCACCGAGCTCGTCGGCGAATTGCTGCTTCATAGTCAGAGTGGCGTCGCCGCTAGCGATCACTGATTCGCTCACCCTTGCTTGATATCGAGCACAACTTCCTCCTTCGTCCGTTCCTCCAACTTGACTTGAGGATGCGGATCATGGCGCGCATTCGAAGGTGTCGTGCGCCCGAACCACCCACGTGCAATGTGGAAGATGCGTTTGTACGACGTACGCGCGTCCGTCGTCAAGCCGAACAAGGCAAATATTGCCAAGGCGAGTATAGGAGATGTCCAGTTGCTGAAGTAGTCCTGTGGAAGAGCAGACCTGCCCATTGACTTGATGTCGGCCCATGTATGGGTCATCGGCGTCCAGTCATCGTGTACTTTGTGCCATCCCGGATAGAAAGGCAAATCCTTCTTATTCACAGCAACGATGGTGCTCAGGGTGATGTTGACTATGCCGAAGGGTAATGTAAGGAGAATGTCGAGGCTGGCAAGAGCGAGAACACGGAGGTAATGCTTGCGCGAGACGGTTGCGCTGTCCCGTAGTAGTCGGTTCACGTCCTTCGTATGGTGATAGAAGACTCGAGCCATCCTCGCTGATGCGGAAGTCTACTTCAGATATCTACACAAATACACAGTGACAGTTGGACTCACAGTAGTAAAGTGCGACGGATAACAAAGGAGGCATTATGCTCCATGACCTGACCAGTAAGATCTCAAGGATCGACCCTTGCATGGTGTTCGTACACCCGAAACCCTCCAAGATCTCGAACCGAGCGTTCTGATTCACGTAGTCTGATATGCGGAGTGACATCTCAGCGCACAGAATCGCCTATGCGGTGTTTGGGGACTCACAAAAAGGACCCGCGACTAGAAGAGGGATTCCCAGTCCCAACGTCCATTCCACGGCCAGGTCCCATCGCCTCTATGGAAGACATGAGTTTTACGTCGTGACGTCGGATGAGACGCCGCACAGTTGCCTTGTCAGGAGGGTCCGTGGACCGCGGACAGATGATTAAATAAAGTCGGCGAGTGATAATGAGAGTCGCTATCGGTTTCACAACGAAAGTGATCATTTGCAAACGGGATACTAGTATATACATCGTAAGCATTCTGTTCGTGCATCCAAATACTACATGGCAAACCTATGTCACAGTAAACATAGTGCTTGACGTCCACGTTATCCGACCATAAGACTGCGTTGACGGCGTAAGTGAGGTTCTCGAAGAAGAGCCAGAAGCATAGGAAGGTGACGCCGAGGTTCCATTTATGCCGTATGACGCTCGTCAGTAGCACAAAGAGCAGCGACACAGATGATAGAACGCAGAATATGGGGTACAATGGGTATGAGGGGTCGACTGTCGCGGCCATCTTGAACGCGGCGGCGCCCAGAGGCTCCTGAAAGGTGCTCCTGGAAACTATGCGCCGGTCTATAAGTACAGTATCCGAGTGTAGATCAAGAGCACATACAGTGACAGATCCCCCGCTCTGCTACCACGTTTCGTGCGAGCGCCACTGTGAGATGCGGCGCAAGATATGATAGGTGCCTGTCTCAAGACGCTCAGGAACCTTTCCGATCAAACTTTCGTCTGTGTGGCGTAGGCGAAGGACTTGAAGAGGTGCAAGGAGGTGCAGTATGGGTCAGACCGGGAGGTCTGCTGGCGCGTTATATGTCAGATTGCGACTCAAGCTAGACACACTGAGAGCATACCAGGCTTGGTGGTCTGGCCAGCGTGGCCGCGACCTTTATCGAAAGTTGCGATGGCATCCGCATGTGGCTAGAGTATCTCTGTGAGGCGCTCGATGATAGCCTCATTGGTACAGCGACTCGCGCCCAGTTGACTCAGGGCTGCCGCAGTGAGAGCAGTACACCAACCAATAGATAAGAACCCGCAATTCTGACACGTTCTTCCCACCAAGCGGAGGTCGTGAGCCCTGGAGGCCGCCTTCATGTGCAGGGAAGCTGTGGCAGTGATACGCAGGAGCACACGACGTAGATGGCCGATATATAGAGCATGGGCTCAACATGCAGTTCCCGCGGGCACCCACTGTCATCGAGGTCGAACACAAGCGACGCGTCGTTCTTGCGCGTAGATCCGGACTGTTACCGGGCCGATGTTAGCCGAAGGCACGCCGCGCTGTGCTGCAGTTTGCTTTCCTCATTCATCATCGACATACGTAGTCAATCGCAGCTGCACGTGCAGTATGACCAACCTACTTACCAGTCTCTCCCTGCTTGTGCGATGAGCCGCGTATGACTTCATTATCAATCGAAAGCAGACTACAGTATCTCTACCGCATCGTCAACCGCGACTGGGTTTCTTAGATACTGTGTTCGCCCGGCTGGGAGCCCTCATACGTAGTGGAAGCTCATCGTTTCCGGGAGAAGTGCACAATTATCCTATCTCGAATCTCTCCGGTCTATTAGCATGGCATAATATAGTACTGGCACCTTCAAGCTCGCATGAAAGTCGTCTACACGCAGTATGATCATAAAGGCACAACCTCGGCGACAGCGGCAGATCCACAGCAACAACTCTGCATCTCCAGGCGTACCCATCCACTGTCGTTCATCATACAGCTCCGGTAACATCCCTTCCGCCAAGGGTACTCTCAGATTTGATGGTTTCCAACTCCATCGGCTTGTCAGCAGACCGTGGCCTTCCACGCTCTTCGTCCCTGTCGACCTCCGTCTCCTGCGTGATCTCGACAGTGATCGCGGTCATCGTCGGGTACGTTGTGTTCAAGCCTTGACTTGGCCCTCGTTGAGGGGAGAAGCCATAGCGCTGCCTCAGGCGCTCGCTGAACTGGGATCGCGTCTCTGTGATGCGTGCGCCAGAGGACCATGCGCCAGATGTGCTGAGTAACTCTCGGAATCTGGAGGAGAGTCAGCTGCGGTATAACCCGTAGACTGCTCAGACATACCGTGTTTGTAAGAAGATCAAAACGAACGTGACGCCCTGCGTATACTCGTCAGCACCACGAAACGCCCGGCACTCGTCCTTCCACATGTGTACGCACAATGAGCGGCATGATGACGTCCACCGCCGCGAACTGCCCATCCGAGCCAGATAGGAAGGAGATGAGCAGTCCAATATATCCGGTCGTATACAACGCCGCCGTGTCGATGATGGCGACTAGTACAGGCATCACTGCTCCTGTGCGGCGCATAGGTCGAGTTTTGCGGATGATCTGGTAGGCCATTGCGCCTGCAAAGAGGGTTAGCTCCTAGCTCTCGGAGTGCAACAAGGCTCAAGTCTACACACCGGAACAAAGGATGTTGATGTACATCGTACAGCTGAAGTATAACACTATCCACTTCTGGTATTGACCCGTGAAGACGCTAGTAGCGCCTGGCTGAGAGTGTGTGAAGTTGTAAAGGATAGCGCTCGCGGAGCCTACGGGCATCAATCTTAGTGAACAGCTATGACTGGACTGAGAAAACGCATGGGCACTTACAGACGTAGAGGATTGATCCAGCGATCATGGGTGAGACATACAGTATCCGTCGGCCGTAAACCACATAACATCGCCAAATCTGGGATGGTAAAGAATCTGTCAGGAAAGCATGTTGCCGAGCTTATTATGAATGTAGAGCGCACCAAAATGCCATCTCCGAGCACAGTCTGCCCCATCCATAACACCGTCTTCGCCAGAAACGAGCCGTTCGTCACGCTATGGAAGAATGCCTCGGCGGCATCCGTTTCACCTGTCAACCCAACGAAGGCACGTACAGCGTCAATTACAAGATGCTGAACATTGAACGACTAGTTAGTATCGTTCGACGGTGACCCTGGAACGAGTTGCTTACCGCTGTTGTGAACACCATCATAATCGACGCGACCCATATCACGAAGTCTTGCCGGTGGGCATGCGCGCCGCCGCGCTTGTCTTGAGCGATGACGATGAGAAGCAAGAAGTACAGACAGAAGAAAATGCCTTCAGAGATATTCAGTGCGAGATCACCTGGAGAGTGATAGACGGAGGATACACACCATATACGAGTGCCTCAAGGAATAGGGCCAAGAGCTCTGCCTTGACAATGGAGATAGCCATGCGTGGTAGATGAGCGGCGGAGGCGAGTCTCCAAGGGAGAGGAAGGACGTCAGAGCTGACCAAGTCAGTACTTAATAGGATCGTTGTCTCGTGCACAGGCTGTCGCGCTTCATAGAACAGTGGATAGAACGCTGTTTGGCTCCGAGGTTGTAGACATTCCCATCCTGCTGGCGCCCGAGGACGGCATACACAGTCGGTAAGGGCACCGAGAGGAAGGCGCAGGCAATGCAGAGGTTAACTCAACCGTCAGCTTCGTCAGATGGCGTCTCAGTTAGACGGGCGGCAGACTGTCTTTGGGCGGCAAAGAAGCCTATGCGGGAGTCGCTATGCCCGTTTTCACATCCGGATCATCGTGAGTGCAGGCGGAGGGACGAATGGGTCAAGAGAGGCGAACGAGGCAGACCGGACGATGATGATGATCAGGGGCACCGGAGCTTTAGAAGGTGTAACCAAATACAAGTATTGGCTTGTGGGATAATGGTGCGAGAAAGAAGTCGTGAGCGGACCAACATCGGTGACATCGAACTTGGGCGCGCTCTGAACATCTGCATGTACGCTCCGTGAGCCAACTTCCGCTGCGCGCCTTGTGGTGCTCCTTGACAGTTTGTCGACCCGCGCCACGACGCTACCGCGAGACACTGAAGACGAACCATGCTTTCTGGCTCCCGCCAATAGATCTCAGCCGTTCGAGTCTGTTCGAGACATCGAGCGTGAGCTTCGATAGATCATCATCAGGCAAACTGCTTCTCCATTGTACACTACCGGTTTTATCACATCATGATGACATCTGGCCATCTTCGCCGCAGACAAGGCGCGTCATGCCGCTTGGTCCACTCGAGCCTGTTCGCATCCCCACCTTGACTGTCGACCTTCAATAGCATGCTGATATGGGACATGAGCTGGCATCTTGCGCACATGAAGGGCTTTTCTTACCTGGGAAGTCAGGCATAAAGTATTTTTCAGCGCATCTTGAACGATCCCTGAGGTCCCTAGGCGGATACATGCCATTGGTTGCTCGAAAGGTATTCCGGTGGTATCAGAGAAGCTACTCCTATTATCAAGACACCATCTCCGTCAACGGGTACGCCTGGAAGGCTGAGACAGCGCTGTATCGAGCGCCTGCATGGATGGTAGTTGACATTAGATGGCTATAATGCAAGCTTTTAGGCGCAACACGGCACGAGCGATAACACCTGAAACGCACTTGCTGACCCGCTTCTACGCGCGCAAATGTTGACATCTTGTATCGGGCATGCCGGCAAGCCGAGCACGCAGTTGTACGCAGATAGCCTGAGCATGTGTGTGTCCTAGAATGGGCATTTCGAGTGATCTGGAACCATGATAGCGTGGAGAGGAGCGTCAGCTGTAGACATCAGGTGTCGTTCAAGTTCACCGAGCGTGAGCGGTGTCAAATTCGTCAAACCAAGTCGGAGCTGCAACCGTGTCGTCACATACGGTCCTATAAATTGTCAGAGATATATGGGACGTCCTGACGCTGGGGGATAAGGCCAGCCAAAGGAATGATGGTCGTTTCGGAATAAAAGGCGAGGAAGATGGCCGAGCAAACGCCGAGGGTGTTTGGTGTCATCAGCATCACGTCACAATTTTTTCGCACGCCCTCCATTCTCGAATCTTTTGGAGGCGACCTAGCTCGCTTTCGCCACTCACCTCGTCTCCCTACTCTACTCGCAGGCTAATATATACGATGGTGCGTTCTCACCTTGCTGGCTCTCTTCAGTGACTGACGTCTATTTTTAAAGGGAAAAGCAAAGAAAACGCGCAAATTCGCGGCCGTTAAGCGCATGCTCAATCCAAATGACATCCGACTGTACGCTACTCGCTGTCTTACATATCCCGATACGGAATCTCATTCATTTCTAGGAAAGAAAACCAAGCTAAACAAGCCAAAAAAGAGGCCGAGGCGAAGGAAAAGGCCGTGCGCCGGGTTACGACGCCCGCCTCCTCTATGTTCCTGGCCCAAAACACCTCGCTTGTGCCCCCGTACCGCGTGCTTATCGACACGAACTTTATCAACTTCAGCTTGCAGAACAAATTGGAGCTTATGGGAGGAATGATGGACTGTCTGTACGCGAAGGCTATACCGTGTGTGACGGACTGTGTCATGGCGGAGTTGGAGAAGTTGGGAGCAAGATACAGGGTTGCGCTAAAGTGAGCTACATTCCTCATCTGTTTATGTTCAAGTCCGCGCCCAGATGAGACGCTAACTCTACCGCAGAATTGCCAGGGATCCACGCTTCGAACGGCTAAAGTGCGACCACAGGGGCACGTATGCTGATGACTGCATCGTCCAACGTGTGCAAGCCAATGCCATCTACATCGTCGCCACCTGCGATCGCGAATTACGCCGCAGGATACGCAAAGTACCCGGTGTTCCCCTCATGTACATCGTCCGAAGGAGATATGCTATTGAGCGCCTGCCGGATCAAGGTGCCCCGGCTTAAAACTCACATCGCCACCAGCGCGTCGTGTACGGATCGGCGCCAGGATGCCTATGATATAGCGCTCTCAACCTTCACTTGATGGTGGCAGCCCATCGCCATCAGAAGGTTCACGACTGCGCGAAGGAATGGCACGCTCTCGTGTGTCTACATACGGCGGCTGCCTGGTCATTCGGCCAAGGATCTGGAGGAGGGCGCTTAGAGAAGTGTCAAAGATCTACAAGTCAAGCTCAATGACACGGTATACTGTATTCATAGTGCGTTTTGTTCTGTCGTCACGCAATTGTATCCCATATGCTTGCAACGAGGTTCTACTGTTGGACAAGTAGTGCAAAGCGGTCCTCAGAGTGGATTGCTATGGATGGTTCTCTTTCAAGGGATGAAAGTCGGTCCAAATGACGCTGAGATGAAGTCAAGACTGGTCAGACCCCAATATTCGTGCACCTTGACAGCTACTTGAATGTCGCATACCAGGTAAGAGATGACCTGTGGTATGCGGTTCATACCAGATGCTCACGTTCCTTCATATAGACCCGAATGAACTGCTTGGCTAGCGCAAGGGGCTACAATCTGCGTACCCAAGGAGATCTAGAAGCGCGAACATGAATGTGTTCGCGTCCTATCAGCTACACTGCTTTTCGATCTCGTATCGAAGTCCGGTCTGGGCCGGCTCGTTTCACCGTAATGAGTCGCTCACAGCTGCATTTCCACTCTTTTGGAGGGCCGCATATACGCTAGCATTCTTGCTAGCATCCTCTAGAGTATGCTCACTAGTTTATCGCTAGAATGTGCCGCCACCGACAACTCCTACGCATACACGGAATGATCCGGCGCTAACGCGCGCCTCCAGGGGTCCAGGGAGCGCTATCACGCTTTGTCAATCATCCGGTTGTTGCGTGTGTCTGTTCGAGGCCAAGCGGCTCCGGATCGAAGCGTGATTGAAGCCCCTTCAAAGGAGTGCGTATGATAGAGAGGGAACGCCACGGAGGTACGACCGAGATATGCGCAATGGGTACAGTACGCCCTGGATCCGAACATGGCATGCATCGGACTCGCGCGATCCGAGACCAACAGTCTTCGAGTTCCCAGAGCGATTTGCACTTGCCGGAATCGTGAGTGGAAGGGCGTTCTTGTAAACCGTTCGGGCATGAAGGTCGATACCTATGATTCGAAGAGATCCAACTGCGATAAGATCAGCTTAGATGAACAAGTAGCGGTGCTCCGAGGACCGGTTTTCTTCCAGGGCCTTCATGTCGGAGTTGCCATGTCGGAGTTGCCGTATGCTCGCGTTAGCCTCCCCCGGATTGCAATGCGATTGTCTGGTAGGGCAACACGCCACGACGCTGCCTGTGATGCGTACAAAGTTCTGCGTCGAATGTTCATTCAGAACTAGAAGTTGATATGACCGACCGTCCTGCTGATGTACTCATGGCTGGGAGAGTGAACGGTCGGGTGTAGAGGCGCATACGAGCCGATGCTTCTGACAAGATTACAGTTACAGTGTCGAAAGACTTCGATGTCCTGATCCTACTCCAACGCCCATCTGAATCTGCCTACAGCCACGAAGCCGAGTGCGTCTTGTTCCTAACCTATCTCGGGCTGATTACACGTACCGAAGCCGCGCACGCGCATCTCAAGGTGCATGCAAAGAGCTAGAAGTTTGTCTACTTACGGCGAACCGTTGTCGTATCATCACATTGACGAGGTGCCACGCTACTCGCAAGGTCATTGATCTTCCTAGTTCATTCTGACCATCTGGAAACATACCGGATGCGACGTCGCGTGGCACTCTTTGGATCCTCAATCAGTTCAGCGTAGGCCTGACTGTGCTGCGGAACGTTGCGATTGCGGATCTGCTTACGGCGTAGCCTGCGAGACTGCGCTGAGCTCGAGCTCGTCTCAAACTCTTTCCGCGAGATCGAAGGCCTCCTTTGTGACTCTATCGCCATTTCTCTGGACCATACTTGCAATACGTACGGGTCTTGCACGGCGATGCACTGCATCTGGCTAGCTGTCTTTGTGGCTGCATTTTTTGCCTCAAGTGCGAGAGGCGTGCCGGATTAGTGCAGCCTCTAGCCGCTCTCACACGCCGTTGTGGCTCTGGTCCGGCGAGTGGCGGACGCCACCTCGAGGTCCATCAGCCCCGATGCAACAGGGTAATTGTAGGTCTCTGCTGTGCCGCTCAACAAGATGACTCGTTTCAAATGCACACAACCCACGTATCACCTACAAGAACCCGCAAAACATGGTCTTTGTTCAGGGTTCCAACGTTTCAACGGTCATCGCCTGTCTACGTACTTCCTCGGCCGTTGTCTTGCATCACATAGCCTACCGAGAATGGAGTCTCGGCAAGGAAATACATTCGTGGGAGCTGAGATCAGACTGAATGCGTTGGTGCCTCTTGCGGCGCCCGCCGTGCTTTGGCATGAAGAGCCGAGGAAAGAAGCGGCAGGGACTGCTAGTCGGATTAGTGCCAGGAAAGGACATGGACATGAGCCACACTACTCATAGCCTCCGCCACCACGCGTACTTGGAAGAACGAGGGTTGCACGGAGTCTATTCGACCCAGCATTGCCTACAGCTACCTGATACGTCGTGCGATCTCTGTGATCCAGCTGGCTTTATATAAGTATAGGACGACCCCCTGCTTCAACTCAAACTACCCATCCTCTACCCGCCCTCCAATCAGACCAACAATGACCGTCAACTCTACCTTCACGTCTATGACATCCACGCAGTCGTACATTCCCTCGACAGTAGCTCACCTGCCTAACAAGATGCACTTTAACGCCCACTCAACGCCCATACCCGTCGCCGTCCCGCCTCCGACTGACCTGCTTGGTTGCTTCATCTCACAGTACAAGGAATTGAATCTGCACAAGTGAGAATCCATCATCCACCGAGCGGCAGGAATGACACATTGACCCGTCATCGGCACAACAGGCGCGGAGAACCCGTGATCGTGAATGGCCAGTCTTTGACCATTGCTGCTATTGCCGCTGTGGCGCGCTACCATACGCCGCTCGTGCTCGGTGCTTCCCAAGATGTCAAGGACAAGCTCATCGAGTCGCGCCGCGTCATCGTGGACAAGGTCGGCCAGTCGAAGAGCGTCTACGGCGTCAGCACCGGCTTTGGTGGGAGTGCAGACACCAGAACGTCCAACCCGCTTGCGCTAGGCGCCGCTCTTCTCCAGCACCAACAGTCCGGAGTACTGCCCTCGTCGACGGATGTTCCGCTGCCTGCGCTGCCGTTACTGGACCCTATGACCTCGACGGCTATGCCCGAGGCATGGGTGCGTGGCGCGATTCTCGTACGCATCAACTCGCTCCTGCGTGGCCATTCGGGTGTCCGCCTGGAACTCATCGAGAAGATGGCCGACCTGATTATGAAGAACATCACGCCTGTCGTGCCCATCCGAGGCAGCGTGTCCGCATCTGGCGGTAAGTATTCTTGCTTGAGCTATTGCACCCGATGTCGTTCGCATGTGCTGACAGGATTCAACAGACCTCGCGCCTCTCTCGTACGTCGCAGGTACGCTCGTCGGGAACCCTGCTATCCGCGTGTTCGATGGTCCCGCCGCTTTCGGCTCGCGCAGCGTCATCTCCTCGCGCGAGGCACTGGCAAAGCATGGCCTCACGCCTATCGCACTCGGAGCTAAGGAGCATCTTGGTAAGGACCGGTCAGTTTGTGTCCAAGCTTCGCGAAGCTGATGCGTACATCACATCAGGCATCTTGAACGGAACCGCGTTTTCGACATCCGTGGCAGCACTCGCGCTGAATGACGCCGTGCATCTAGCGCTCCTCGCGCAGGTGTGCACGGCGATGGGTACTGAGGCACTCCTTGGCATGCGTGGGTCGTTCGCACCGTTCATCCACGAAGAGGCCCGTCCGCATCCTGGTCAGGTCGAGGCGGCGCGCACAATCTGGGACTTGCTGGAGGGCAGCAAGTTTGCTGTCGGCCATGAGGAAGAAGTGACGATCGACAAGGATGCGGGCGAGCTCCGTCAAGACCGCTACCCTCTGCGCACAGCGCCACAGTTCCTAGGACCGCAGATCGAGGACATCCTTGCCGCGTACGACAGCATCTCACTCGAGGCCAACTGCACGACGGACAACCCTCTCATCGACGCTAAGACCGGCGAAGTTCACCACGGCGGCAACTTCCAGGCGATGGCGGTGAGCAATGCGATGGAGAAGACGCGTCTCTCGCTGCACCACATCGGCAAGCTGCTCTTCGCACAGACGGCTGAACTCGTGAACCCAGAGCAGAACCGCGGGCTTCCCCCGTCTCTCGCCGCGACCGACCCGAAGCACAACTACCACGGCAAGGGTATCGATATCGCTGCCGCTGCCTACGTCGGAGAGCTTGGATACCTGGCAAACCCCGTTTCTACTCATGTTCAGTCAGCAGAAATGCACAACCAAGCAGTCAAGTAAGTCCGACCTCTTCTAGCGCTGCGCACTAGTGCACCATGATTTCTGACCGAAATCGCAGCTCGCTCGCTCTGATCTCTGCTCGCGCTACCCTGAACTCGCTTGACGTCCTATCCATGCTCATCGCGAGCTATCTCTACCTTCTGTGCCAGGCATATGACCTTCGCGCGCTGCAGACCGAGTTCAAGACCGAGCTTGTCGCCATGGTCACGGAAGAGTTGGACGTTCACTTCCCGGGTGCTAAGGCGGGCGTCCTTGCCAAGGTTCTCGACGCGATGTACCGCTCTTTCGACAACACCTCCACGATGGATGCCGCGCCGCGCATGGTCCGCCTTTCCGAGGCCGCAGCTGGTGTTCTGCTCCACTACTACACGAGCGACACGTTCGATGTGTCCGCTCTTGCCGCTGTCCCGGCATTCCGCGCATCAGTGTCCAGGAAAGCGACCGACTCGCTCGTGCGCCTTCGCCGTGAGTATCTTCACGGAAAGCGCGGACCGGCACCGGCGAGTAGGCACCTCGCGCGCACACGGCCCATGTACGAGTTTGTGCGCGAGACACTGGGCATCCGCATGCATGGCGCGGTGAACGAGAATGACTTCGTGGATGAATTCGGCGGAGAGGACTCGATCGGCCAGAACGTGAGTCTCATCCATGAGGCGATCCGGGATGGCAAGATGCAGGGTGTGGTGGTCGGCATGTTCGCATAGAAGGTTGGATGTTCACGGACTTGTTTATTCACCATTACTATATGTAGATAGGTTTCGTCAAAGTCTGGCGCCAATGTAAAATATGAGTAAACTGTAGATATACGCTTCTCTGACCCCATTGTCCTTGATTGGCTAGTATGACGCCCGAGGATCATGTCCTCCACGGATACGATGTCTGGTACCCTACCGGATCAATTCCAGTGACTCGATAGGCGGTACCTCATTCGTACTGAGATCTCAACAGGTACTGTAAAAGTATCGTGTACAAGTATTGGCATGATATCAATGACGGACAGCCATTGGAATAGGATAGCGTGGGTAGGATCATGGTGGTTGAAGACAGGCGCGTCGCCACGACTGCGCGGACGCGAGATGCGTTCCACGGCAAGTTGCCTTCGGCACTCACTGCCATTCAACCTTCCATAGCATAGAGGCAGCTACGTTTCCTACGCAGAACTAGTGGTCACAATCAAGTACGCTCTACAGGTTTTATACGGGTTCGCGGTCCTCATCGGCTCACGACAGGATGGCCAGATGTCTCTCACCAATGATGACGCCCTGGCAGCTCTGCCGGCGAACTTCGTCGATACCCTAGGAGAGCTCTCCACGAATGAAGAACTTGTCGACTGGATCAACACGTCGCTTGCTCCTGGGACGGACGATTTGGGCGCAATGGACCGCCTGGTAGCGCGCTTAGTTGCATCACTCGACGTCGCGTCCGAGGATACGTCGCTACAGCTCGAACACTTGATCGACGACATATCTCGTACCGCATCCCGTTTACATTATGATCTGCACTTCATGCGAGATGGCGCCCTGTCACTGCAGAGTTCTCTGAACGACCTCACCACGCGGGCGAACAAGTCATCAGCGCCGGAAACGGACCAAGCGCTCGACAAGCTTCACACGCTTGACATCACCAAAAGGAATATGGAAGCCGCCAGAGCGGTTTTGCGCGAGGCGGAGAGCTGGAGTACGCTCGAGAGCGAAGTCGCCTCACTTCTATCCGAACATGCGTACGACCGTGCCGCAGAGAAGCTGGCCGAGGCACATCGCTCTATGGCGGTGTTCGCGAATACACCAGAATACGAAGGGCGCCGCACTCTGATGGTGTCGCTGCAGAACCAACTCGAAGCTGCCCTTTCCAGCGCTCTCATAGGCGCCATCACACAGCAGGACGCCGCACAATGCAAAGCTTACTACGCCATCTTCGAACGTATTCAGCGCGACGCCGAGTTCCGGACGTACTACTATGGCGCGAGGCGCGCAGGGTTGGTGACTCTATGGACGGATGCACACTTGTCCGATACTGGCGAATCTACGCCTATCCAAACTACGTCTACGCCAGCCATACCCTTCTCGGCCTTCTTGACGACCTTCTTCGCATCGTTCCTCAGTACACTGAATGCAGAGAGGACGTCCGTGTCCGCCATCTTTCCCGACCCGCAGTCGACGCTATCGACTTTTATCACCTCAACCCTCTCTGCTCTGCAACCATCATTCGCTCAACGCCTCAACTCGCTCTCCAGTCATCTGGCGTCCATGGCCCTTCCGGAACTCATCTCGGCGTTCAGGGCGACCGAAACGTTCGCCGTAGCCGCGGATAAAGTTCTCGAGCGCACTCTGCAAAGCAGTGTAATCTCGCCAGGTCAGGATGGGGACCTCCCGCCTCAGATGACGGATCGCGAGCGCAAACTCCATCGACGGCGCTCATCGCGAATGTCAATCTCACGACGGATGTCGCTTAGTGGCGGCGCAGGCTTGAACCTGCGGCCCGGTGTACTCGCAGGCAGCGGCCTCGACTGGGATACGGAGCTTTTTGAACCCTTTATCGAGGTGCAAGCTGAGTACGGCACTCTCGAGTTGCGCCATCTATCTGCGCTGCTTGCGGCGGAACCGGTGCCACAAGATGTTGATCACGCACGTGGGTTGCGTGAACGGGCCGGCGTGGCGCTCAGCCTCGCCGAGGAGAGTCTGGGGCGCATGCTCGCGCTGACCCACGGCTATGGCGCACACCGCCTCCTTAGCGCGTTGGATGACTTTCTCGCGTCATTCGTTTCCTCGTCACAATGCGAGTTCTCGTCTTCGACCATCCCTACGCCGGGACAAGGGCTCGGCGGAGCACCCGCGGATATGGACTACAGTCTCGAAGACTGGGCGCACATCCAAGCACGGCTACACTTGCTCGATGCCTTGCGTAACACTCTTGAGCGCCTTGTAAACTTCGAAGGTCGCTTCCGGACGGTGCTCCAGCAGGTCGCGGCGCAACTCAAGAGCGCGGATGGTGGTCTGCCTTACGTGCCCGGAACCACGCGCGGCGCACTTGTGCTCCTAGCGCAGAGCGAGCTCAATAGCCTCGAGCTGCAGACGCTTTTGTTAGATGCGGGTGCAGAGGAGCAAAGTCGACCGGGTAGTCAAGAGGTACTTCGCAGGAGGAGCAGCACTGGGACGCCAACTGTCGAGAACCCCCTACTTGACAGCGCTCGCGGTGCCATCGCGACGTACACCGGCGCAACGCAGCAAGCACTCCAAGACGCGATGCTTGCGCCTTTACGGACGCACCTCGCCGCTTATGCTTCACTTCCCGTCTGGTCGTCTACTCCGGTGGAGCGCCCCAGCCGTAATGCAGCGCCCGTGCCGACGTTCAGCCTCAGTCCGAGCGAGTCGATGCAGGCTGTGGCCGAGGGCCTACTTGGACTGCCGCGTCTCTTCGAAGTGTACGCGGAGGATGGCTCGCTCGCGTTCTCCTTACACACACTGCCGCACGTGGATGAGGCGCTCCTGGCAAGCTTCGAGGATGCACCTCCGCCCGAAGCTGCCGCACATCCAGCCCATCATCGGAGGCAGAGCGTCGCTCTCGCGCGTCCAAGTATTTCTGGCGCTGGCATGATTAGTACAGCGCCTGTATTGGGAGCAGAGGCAATCGAGTCCGTTTGGCTCTCTGCGCTTGGACGCACGCTGTTGTCACAGCTCACCAGCAGCATTCTGCCTCGCATCCGCACGTTGACGCCGAGCGGCGCGGCGCAGTTAGCCAGTGACCTCGGATACTTGTCGACCATTGTTGGTGCGCTGAATGCGGAAAGCGAAGAACTTGTGAGGTGGAGGGAGTGCGCGGGATTGTCGGATGAGGAAGGGAGGAAGCTGCTCAGAGAGGGCGGTTTAAGTGAAGGAGGGGAGGTACTGGTTAATGTAGCGAGGATGAGAGGGTGGGCGTGATATATGATACCTAGCTCGATGCCCTTCTGAGTCGCCCGTAAGACATTAGTCTCGTGCTGAACTCGTCAAATACTTAAGCCGAGCACTACGAAAGCTATCGGATACCCGGTCCGAATCCCGTCCCCGGCGCACACTAAATTTACGCATTGTTGAAAGTTGAACCACGCCACCATGATGAGATTGACATATCGCTCAGCTTTAACGAAGGATAGTCCTATGCTGCACCACCGAAACTGCAGGCGCCTAGCTAGCGCTTCGTGCAAGGTGCGAACTACTAGGGTGAGAGTCAACCACCCGACTATCATCTCGTTCTACGGCCGTACCAGTCAGTAGGGCCTACCGATAGTGGGACGGTCGATTCACAGCAGCTCAGCTGACGTGAGGGTGTTGAAACTCGAACCATCTTCATAAGCCCGAAACGAAGCTGGCCACTGTCTTGGCCGTAGCACAGGACACAGCATTCCGTTCCACTGGTTCACCACACTTGACTTCCAACCACCACGATCGCATCCGCGAGCTATGTCCACAGACGAAGACGGTCGACGCGGAGGCCCCCAGCCTGCCTCCAAGAGACAACGGCGTGGGGTTGCTTGTGATATGTACGACCGTCTAGTCGCCGAGGGGTGGGTATGAGATGCTGATGTTGGCGCTGATGATTACAGGTGCCGCAAACGGAAGCGTGAGTACCGAGTGCTTTCGATCAATCAAGAGCTCGCTGACGGAGTCTTGCCCGAAACATAGTCAAATGTATGCCGTTCGTCCATCCAAGCACCACCACATGATGTTGATGACCTTCTTACAGGTGATGGGAAGCAGGCAGCGACTGGAAAGTGCACGAACTGTAGCGACCACAGTTGGGGTACGTGCGTGCCTGTCAGATCATTGAGCACTATCCGTTAACGTGTTGTAGACTGCACATTCTACACCGCACCAGGCAAAGTTCGTACCCTGCTCCCTCACCTCGGTGTCAGGTCTTACATTTGAGCTTTAGAGGGTCCCACCAGGGTAGGGCTGCTATTACTTGAGCGTGACCGTCTCCTGATTCTCGACAGGTATATTGAAGCACTTGAATTGAAGGTGAAGCGGCTCCAAAATCTCATCGCCAGAGTAAGTAATGTAGTCGATACTTACACCGGTGGTGGATGACCGTCAGATCAGATGTTGCCTGGGCGAGACTTCACCCATGAAGTTGGTTTCGAGCTGACACGCGATAATTGGATGGTCTCTGGAGTTTGTGGTGCACCCGAGCCCCAGCAGCCAAGCGCCTTCGTAACCACACCTGCTGCAGTAACACCTGATACGGGTGAATCAAGTGCATTGTCCTTGATGGCTTCCGATCATACTGCGCCGACGACTCCAGCGGTAGACGAATCATCGAGTGATGTCGAAGAGCCTGACCCAGCAATACCCTTACGAAATCTCCGTAGAGCCTCTCGGTGGTCCTCTTGGTCTCAACACATGTCTAGTCATCTGGGCAGATCTTTGGGCGTAGGGCTGTTCAGGACCGCTGTTCAAATGTGCAGAGAGCTTCTCCCTGACACGGTCAACGTCAACGCATTCCACATGCGAAATAAACCATGGGAAACTCCATCTGTGAGTGTTCTCCCAGCCTACACTCGAGAGGCGAGCTCATCGGATTGCAGTGGCTCGACGGCTTTGGCCATCAATCTCCATCCAATCCACTCTTATTTCCCGATCGTGACCTAATGGACGAGCTTATCGGATGCTACTTCGCGAACAGCAATCTTCTTTTACCAGCCTTACATCGACCTACATTCGAAGAAGACATGAGATCCGGGCTTCACCGCCACGAACGCACATTCGGAAGTGTCGTACTTCTAGTCTGTGCCTTGGGGTCTCGTTACTCCCACAACCCGCGCGTTCTCGCGTCTGGCGACAGGACATGGCTGTCTGCAGGCTGGAAGTGGTTTACGCAAGTCCGCGTCCTCGACGAAGCAACACTGGTATCTCCTGCCACGCATCTGCATGTTCTGCAGGCTATGTGCGTACGTGCGCCCACCCTCAATCTGTAGATTCGGGACTGATGCGTCATAGCTTGGGACAATGTACATGGCCAACGTTTCGCTCACACACGCATGGATGTATATAGGCTCAGGCATCCGACTCGCGGAGGACATTGGTGCTCATAAGCGGCGTGCTTATAGCGACAAACCAACTCTTGAGGACGAACTCTACAAGCGCGCCTTCTGGTAGACCGCTTACGTCATCACCCCTTAGTCAGACGGCTGAAACCACCAGGATTCTGATATACTTAGACCGGACGATAAGTGCGATCATGGGCCGGCCATGCTGTATACAAGAAGAAGAGTGAGCACACGCTTGCTATACCAACTGGACGATGCTCATGAGCGCCGAAGCTTTGATCTTGAAATGCCACAATGTTGTGATGATGAGTATCTCACACACGACGACCCGGAACAAGTAGCGAAACAACCTAGCCATAAACCTTCGCTTCTTAGTTCCTTCGTTTGGACACTCAAGCTCAGCCAAATACAAGGACTCGCGCTACGCACGATTGTAAGTCTTCTTCCCTTGAATCTGATCGAGGTACTCATGTTCTTGATTCAGTATGCGAGCACGAAGGCTAAAGCGCACTTCAACTTCCAAGGCGAAAAGTGGCTTGAAAGCACTGTTGTGCACTTTGACTCTCTACTCAATAGCTGGTTGGACACTGTACCTGAGCACCGTACGCGAATAGAGTCTCTTGAAGAGTTTCATCACTGAGGCGTGTTTGCAGTGCGCTGGGATCCCACATCACACTCTAACGACGCATTCTTCCTACAATCAGCGTATCTTCACTCACATTATCATATTACGCAGATGATTGTCCATCGACCCTTTATCGCTACACTTCGCAAGAGATATCCCTTCCCCTCTCTTGCGATATGTACCAACGCTGCACGCTCTCTGACACGAGTGGTCGAGGCTCTGCACGGGAGGAATAGGGACCAAATCGGCGGCTTGACATGGATGGTATGCGCACTGTGACATCACGAGAATGATAACTTACGCCATGCCACAGATGCAGTATTCCGGGCTTGTTATCTTGGTTGCCCTCGGTCATGCGCGCCTCGGGAACATCAGGATCGACCACAAAGGTGGACTGAGGGATGTTGACTTGCTTATCTCCATCATGCGAGAGGGAGAAGTCCGTTGGCGTTGGTCTGGGCGACAAGCGTACGCTCGTTATCACGCCCATCGTCATATACGACTTACCGTATGAACAGGGATCTGGTGAGTCCCTGAGAGTTCTCGGTGACATCCCTGATGATGAGATACAGGGCGCAATACCAGGCAAGCGCCCTCGAGAAGCGTCCTCAACTGTGCTTCCGCCGGACGCTGCAACAGCGTCAATCACATCCGCCGAGCACATACTCGCGCGATCTACCCAGGTACCGGAGCCTGTAACTACATCTCTTGCGGACTCGAACTTCCCCACGACATTCAGCTACACCGCCGATTCAGTCCTTGGTGCACTCCCGCAGGGCACCGGCACAGTACTCGGGAACATCGACTTTGACGCGCTCTTTGGTCTCGGTGACGTGACCTCGCAGGGTTCGCGCCCGTGGTCCCCGTCCCCCTTTGACGATACATTTCTCGGTGTGCCGTCTATGGACCACCTTCCAGACGGCGGGCAAGGATCGAGCTCTGGCTGGCAGGGCGCGACGTTCGGCCAAGAGTGAGCAGAATGACATAAGTTCAAGTTTACGGAGGCTTACGTTCACGTGAAGGGTCGAGCATTGGGACTGGCAGTGGACAGCACCTCCGCAATAGCGCTTGCCGACCGGACATCTCTGGATATCTCTGCAATTTTAGACAATGACTCTACTTGAGATGATGATGTTGGTTGTAGTAACTCCACGTTGTTCAATACGGTGATGTCTACTTTCGTCAACACACGGCCCGGCGGCTCGGCGAGCGATCCTTCACGATCGTAGTATGCGTCTTGGATGTCGATACAAATGAAGTACTTCATAGTTGTCAATTACAACACGTGAGTTAACGAGACCAAGTCATACACATGATCGGCGATAGAAAGCTACAACAGACTTGCGCGAAAAGGACGGAGGTTAACTAGTACGGTGCGCGTTCCGTGAGTGTCACTGTGTTGTTGGAAAGATCGAACGTGGAGACAACATTGTGAAGGAATGTGTCGCCTAGGATAAAGATGTTGCCGTCCTCATCGGGTCCTCCGTCGTCATGACCCGAGATGCAAACTTGATTACCATCCTCGTCCGCGCCGATGGGTAAGATGAGATCAGCCGCGGTAACAGCGAAGCTGACTCCACCAATGACCACCGAGAACTCCGGGGCCGTAGCATTGCAATCGACGATGTATGCGCCTTCATCGTCACTGAACACCGCTGGAGGGTCAAATGCGGCTGCCAGTGCGTTTGCAATAGGAGTAGGTAGATAGAGTAGGGTGGTTCCCGTGTCCAGGATGGACTGGCCTGAGGTCGAAAGCGCATCCGAACCCGGGAAGACGTATGAGTCGATGTCGACGGTGTAGAAGAAGAACTCGGAGTCCTTCGCGGACACCTGCTCGCCTTGAATCGGCACCGTCACAGTGGTGGTTGTGACGTCAACGGGCGCGATGCCACCAAAGGCGAGGAAGCCCAGGTTGGGGTCCTCCACGGAGCCTTCCTCAGCAGCAACGGAGCCTCGGTTGAGCGCTACAGAAAAGACTGACATGCGAGATTATCTGACATGCTCTACAGGGTGTCATGGGTGACGTACTCGGTTGAGAGACCGCGCCCTCTTTGATGGCGGTGAAAAAGAAGGGATCATATTCCTCGGCGTTAGAGCTGCTGTCGTCGTCCGGATTTGTTGTGTTGAAGACACTAGTCAAGCCCGGGTAACAGAGTCCCATGAGACCAGAGCTGACGGTATCGCCAAACCAGAACGCAGTCGTCACCACACCGACTTCCTCTACATACATTTTATCAGCCTTGTGCGGGCTTGGTAGATAAATTCACCCACGATGCGTAACAGTCAGATCCCCGACGGTCACCGTCTCGAAGCCGACATCGCCAGTCAAGAACTCGCCGTCGCTACGTGCAGATGAGCTACTAATCGCGCGCATGCTGTACAAGAGACATACCCATATTCGATGTTGAAGTTATGGCCGGCTGAAATGAGTGTCAATGCACGCCTCAGAACATATGGCGAGTTCACTGACGGTACGCAACGAAGGTCGACGAGGCGTTTGCGTCGTAGCCGGATGAGCCAAAGTCGCACTCCGATTCCGGTTCATCGTCACCATCGGAGCTGATGCACTGGAAGCCCTTAGACACGAGCCAGGTATCTGAGCTTCCGGTATCTACACCCTTGAAAATTAACCCGTTGGTCTCGGTCGAGATACAGGTAAACTGACCGATGATCACCGGGAACGTTTGAGTACCGAAAGTGATGTTCGTGAGGTACTCCTCGTCCTGATCACTACCGGATACGGTGACAATGGTACTGTTAGCAGCCTCGGGACGCCTCGTCAAATGGCGCAACGCTTTGGCCTTGCTAGCTGGTCGCGGCACAGTCTGGCTGAGGCTGACGACATGCTTTGCAGTGGGGAATACAGCCCTCTGTTCGACGTCGTCGCGGCCGAAGGCGACATGGCGTGAAGTGTAGGCCTGTGCACGGAGCGCGAGAAGGAGCAAGGGGAGCAAAGACGCCATACCACACAGCCCAGGCCCGGCAACTGATAACGAGTGACGCCGACGAACATTGAGCGCGATGATTGGGTATATATAGTCGACTGCAGGATCTTCGGGAGGCGTCTGGTGGAAGCAGAGCACGAGGCGCGTTGCTGGGCCCGTGTGAGCGCGTAACGACCAAAAGGGACATCCATCAGCTTCCCGAGTGGCAGTGTGACTGGCATGGTATGGGGGCTTGCGCAAGATGGTCTCAATAAGGCGAGGATAGGCTTCGAGTGACGTTGAGATAGACTATACATACTTGCAGCGACAACACACGGCCCATGCAGGCCAGAGATGCATCCATACGTTGCCATGATTAGGACCAGGAAAGTGAGCCTTCCGCAAGTATGTCGGCATGGAAGACCTCCCAGGCAGATAAGGCAGCATAAAGACCGGGCCGACCGCAGCCATGGGCCGCTATCATTTCCTGTGCACGAGACAGTCCGGAAGGACATCATCGCTACTCATCCGTACATTCAGCGACAGTGACAGGTAATCAACTTGAGCATACGTCGAAGAAGAGAAGAGAAGGAAACAACAACTGCCGCTCACGCCGAGCCACAGATAAGCATTTAAACAAATATTTTCTGGTCAGATAAGTCCGAATATCTGTATATCGCCCGACAATACTTGCAATTGTCGTCTGGGTTCTCGACTCTTTATTCGTTACTTCACCAGCACCGCCCACATCACCGGGGAGCAATTTACAGCCGTCAGAATGGGACCGCTAGAAGGTGCTGTGCGGAAGCTTAATGCTGGCGTTCGAGCGACTCTCGCGGGGGAGGTCGTACTTGGCCGCTGCACAGCTTCGGTCTCGGATTTTCTCTACCTTGCCTCAGACCACCACGAACGGTGTATCCATGTCTTCAGACGAAGAAGACCAGTACGGTGCCGGGCCTTCAGCGCCGAAAAGGCGACGGCGCGTCAATGCGTGCGACATGTATGAAGTTGCCTTTCGCCACACTGCGGACAAGCTTCAGGGACTGATTACGTGGTGTTGATTTGTAGGTGCCGCAAGCGGAAAAGTGCGTGGTGCTCCTTTTACTACTCTAGACTCGCGCTTGACTAACGGCGTGCATCTAGTCCGATGTAAGCCGTGTACGGTCTCTCCCGTTCAACATTGACGAACGCCGTCGCAGGCGATGGCAAGCAAGGTCGCCAGGGCAAGTGCACGAACTGCAGCGATCATAATTGGGGTAAATGCTTTGATATCGCGCCCATGTGGAATCAATCTGACTGGAATGCGGCAGATTGTACATTCATAAGGACTCCCACTAAGGTATGTACCTCCACCACCCTTTACTCCGCGTACGACTTATCGCAGTATCTATCTAGAAATATGCACCTGGGTACATACATTCCGCGAAACGGCATACATCCACCTCTGACATCCTCTAGATATGTAGAAGCGCTCGAACTCAAGGTCAAGAAGCTGCAAAGTCTGATCAGCCGGGTACTGCTATAATGGATGTACACGCTGAACAGGACTGACCAGTCTCTCCGCAGATGCTACCTGGTCAAGACTTCTCCCATGAAGTTGGTTTCGAGTTGACCCCTGAGAACTGGATGTTCCCTGGTGTCTGTGGCGCACCAGAACCAGAATATCCCAGTGCATTTGTTGCTGGACCCATATCTCCGGCGGGACTCACACCGGACGCGGCCACCCCTAACACATTATCTGTGATGGCTCCAGACAATCTGTCACCGACGACGCCTATGCCCGATGACCAGCACTCGTCCGATGATGACCGCCGGGACTTGACCGTCAAGCTACAAAGTCTGCGCACTGCCGCCCAGTGGGTCTCACGATCATACGACATATCGAGCTATCTGGGAAAGTCTTCACCAACTGGTCTCGTGAAGACAGCTTTCGAGATGCGCAAGGAAGTGGCGCCAGATGCCACTGCCGGTACCATTCTCCGCTCGAAAGTTTGGAAGCGGCCTGCTGTAAGCGTCTCGTCTTCATATTCATGGTTTCGAGACTAAAACGCGCTCAGTGGCTTGAGGACTTTAGAACCGAAGCTGCCAAACCGCTCATATTCCCTGAACAAGATCTCATGGACGATCTCGTCAGACTCTACTTTCAAAATCTGAACATCCTAATGCCTGTTCTACATCGACCTACCTTCGAAGACGACTTGAGGTCGAGTCTCCATCTTCGTGACCGTGCTTTCGGCAGCATCGTACTCATAGTCTGCGCTCTGGGATCACGCTTCTCGCACGACAAACGTGTTCTGTTACCTAGTGATCAGACATGGCTATCCGCCGGCTGGAAGTGGTTTAGTCAGACCAAAGTCTGCGACGACGCGACAGTTGTCGCCCCAAATTCGCACTTGCATCTTCTTCAAGCCACATGCGTACGTGTTCCGAGACGGTGTTACATAGTCCCGCCAATTCATCTCTGCTAGTTGGCGACCCTATATGCCTCTGGGATATCACAAACGCACGCATGGATGTACACCGGCGCGGGTATTCGTCTGATCCTGGACATCGGCGCGCACAAACGACGTGCTTATGGGCCCAAACCCACTCTCGAGGATGAGTTATATAAGCGGGCATTCTGGTAAGAACGCAATCCCTCGCTCGCTATGTCTGACTTAACGAAACGTCATAGGACCTTGCTATACCTGGACCGCACGATGAGCTCGGCTATGGGGCGCCCTTGTGGTCTCCAGGAAGAAGAGTAAGCCCGCCGATCACCGCTCGCTGTCATACTCCTGATCTTCCCAGTTTTGATCTTGAAATGCCTCTTTGTTGCGATGACGAGTATCTCCTTCATGAAGACCCTGAGCAAGTCGGGAAGCAACCTGATGATAAACCGTCTCTGCTCAGCTACTTTGTTTGGACGCTCAAATTGACTCAAATCCAAGGTCTCGCGCTGCGCACTCTCGTGAGCCTGATCCTCTTGCGAAAGGTACCCGCGCTCATTATCAGCATTTAGTATGCCAGTACGAAGGCCAAGGCACACTACAATTTCCGAGGAGAAGAATGGCTGACACGGACTGTCGCCCACTTCGACTCGCTTCTCAACAACTGGATCGACTCGGTCCCTGCACATCGTACGTTCACGTTCTCATAGACCGAAGAGATGTGACTGAAGAATTGCTTGCTACAGTGCGCTGGGATCCATCTATGGTCGACGACACTTTCTTCTTCCAATCAGCTCAGCTCTACATGCAATATCACACCACGCAGATCATGGTCCATCGCCCATTCATCTCCGTTCCGCCGCAAACTACAATACCTTTCCCCTCCCTCGCCATCTGCACAAATGCGGCGCGTAGCATGACACGCATGACGGAAGCTCTGCACAAGAGGAATAGTGATCAAGTTGGCGTTCTGACGTGGATCGTGAGTCGGCGATGCTGCTGCTACTACCTGCGACTGCTGCTGACAGGACACGATAGTCAGGGAATGCAGGCATCGTGATTCTCGTCGGGCTCGGTCTTGCCCGCCTCGGTCGCTTCAGACTTGACCGCAAGCAAGCGATGCAGGATATTGAGTTGTTAATCTCAATTATGCGAGATAGGGAGGATCGATGGCGATGGGCCGGCCGGCAAGCGTGCGCCTTTCGTACCTCATACTGTCGGCTGAGTTTGATCATAGATTAAGCGACGTTCTCGAGTCTCTCAAGATCCTTGGAGAGGCACCAGACAGCATCCAGTTCCAAGAGCCACAACGCAAGCGCATACATGGGGCAGAGGCGCCTATCGCCGAGGCCAGGGAGACCAGCGCGAGCTCCCAGCCGACCGCCGGGCCGTCCGGTCCGGCGGCGCCAAACGACTTTCAGCCCGCCATGGACTGGGAGGCGCCCTCAGTCTTCGATCACAGTACGGCAGGGCCCGATATTGGAACCCTAGGCGACCACCAGAGCGATCAGAGCACAGGTGCTGTATTTGGGAATGTCGACTTCGGCGCGCTCTTCGGCCTCGGAGAGGGTGCTCCTGAAGGCGCCCAAACGTGGTCTCCTTCATCCTTTGAGGCAACGTTCGACCCGTCATCTACCGGTGTGCTATCCGGTGGCATGGGTTTCGGGACCGAGACGTGGGCAGGGATGTCATTTGACTTCGGGTGAGTTCGGTCATAGAACACAGGACTTTCTGAGTATTGACGACACGACAGGATGGAGGATTGGCAGTGGACGGCGCCGCCACAGCAGAACGCAGGCAAGCAAGGATCCGGGGGTCATTCTGTAGAGCACCACCGGTGACGTTCACTCTCGCGTTTGAGAATCAGCTATACATCGTAAGAAAGGCGTAGTGATGATGATAGAGATACAGTTGTGAATAGTGAAAGCCCTGAATGGGAAATGCAATCAGCTTAGTTCGCGAACGCCTGGATACCCGTGATCTCCTTGCCCAGGATGAGAGTGTGGATGTCGTAGGTACCTGTAGCGCGTTATCGATACTTATCACTGCAAAGCTGGAAAGGTGCGCACCCTCGTAGGTATTGGTGACCTGCAAGTTCCCAACGTGTCGTCCGATGTGATACTCATCGCTCGTCGCGTTGCCTCCAAGTATGTCCAGCAGAATGCGTGAATGCTGCAACGCCTTGCCGCAGTTGTTGCGCTTCACCATGCTGATCATGGCAGGTGCGAGTTTCCCCTCGTCCTTGAGACGGCCTACGCGCAAGCTCGCTTGCAGACCCAGGGCAGCTTCCGTATGCGCATCGACGAGCTTCTTCTGGACAAGCTGGAAGGACGCTAGTGGGCGAGAGAACTGATGACGTTCAAGCGCGTAGTTCCGCGCCACATCGATGCAAGACTCGAGCGCTCCGATGACACCCCATGAGATACCGAACCTGTCGTGATACTGTCAGTGGATCCAAAGTATGAAGGGAGGGAAGGCGCTTACCGTGCATTGTTTAAGCACGAGAAGGCAGCGCCGAGGCCGACGGCTTTGGGTAGCAACGCATCGTGCGAGACCTTGACGTTGTCCATGAAGATAGACCCTGTCGGGCTCACGCGAAGGGCGTGCTTATCGTGTATCCGCGGGGCGGTCAAGCCGTCCATGCCCTTCTCAAGGATGAAACCGCGAACTTTGTTATCCCACTTGCATCGAGCCCAAATCACGAAGACATCGCTGCGGAGCATAAGCTACGCATGTCGCGAAGAGTTGAAGTGCATACATACGCGAATGGTGCATTCGAGATCCATGTCTTGCTGCCTCGTATGATGAAGCCGCCGTCGGTCTCCTCTGCGACGGTGTCCATTCCTGCAGGGTCACTACCGTGGTTCGGCTCCGTCAGCCCCTACAGGTGTATGCATCAGTATCACGCGAGGTCCACCTACAGAGACGTCGAACTCACGAAGCAGCCAACGAGCTCTCCCCTGGCAAGAGCCGGAAGGTACTTCTCCTTCTGAGCGTCCGAGCCAAACGCGTTGATGGGATGCATTACAAGCGAGCTCTGCACGCTGCCAGTGCTTCGGTACCCAGAGTCTACACTATTTTGACCCGTGAGCACGCTTTCCACATGTACCAGTGCGTGTATACACATACCGCTCCAACTCGCGGGCGATAAGTCCATACGCCACGCTGCTGACACCGGCGCATCCGTAGCCTTCAATTGTCGGCCCGAGGATACCCATCTTACCCATCTCAGGTAAGATGTCGAGGTCAAGTTCTGTGAACGCAGACGTCAGTCTGTTTGGCCGCTACATAGAGCATCCAGGCATACTCTCTGTCCGGTTGGCCTCGATCACACGAGGGAGAAGGAAGTCCTACAACATGTCAGGAAGGGGTATATTAGAGCGAAGAGGTCTCCGTTTACCTGACAGAATTCGCGAGTGGCGTCCCTACGACCCCATAAGTACCTATTACATCCGAGGAATGCGTGTGGCACATACCGTATGGCGATCTCATCAGAGGTGAGTTGACTTTCCAGGTCAAACGGATCCTGAGGTACGTCATCAGTATCATAGGGTAACCTGCACCTGGCAGCGTCGCGTACCTCTGCATTGAACTTCGCGAATCCTGGGTACCCCATCAGTTCAACAATGGCAGAGAGTGCACGCCTGCTTCGGACGTACCTGACGCGCTCCTAGTAGCAAACTGTGACCTGACCGCGGCGCGAGACGCATGAGCACGAGCAATAGACCTTAAGCCGAGCATGACTGGAGGGTAGAGTAAGGTAGAGTGGTGGTCGTTCAGGACCAGAGAATGCGGGGATGCTGTAGGTCCGTCCCGGTGTTCGGCGCGAGCGGCCGATCACCACAGAAAACACATGTGACAGTCTCCCACGCGACACTTGTCTTAGGCGATGGCGTCGACTTTCGGCACCTTCGAACTGCTTGCCGCCGCGGCACTCGCTATCCCTGCCATCTACCTGGGCTACTCGGCTATATTCTCACCGGCCAACCCTACTCCGAAAGAGGACGAACAGAAAGAGGAGAAAGAGGAGAAGACGATCATGCAGGCCGAACGTACAGATCTCGCACCGCCGAAAGATGATCCCTGGACGCAGGAGCAGTTGAAGGAGTTTAACGGTTCGGACCCTAACAAGCCGATATATGTGGCCATCAAGGGTACGCATGCTCTACCTTATAGCCGTCACTGGTCAGATAGCTAACCTTCGAATGGCAGGTACGGTATTCGACGTGTCTCCCAAGCGAGAAACATACGGCCCTGGAGCGTCATACAACCTCTTCGCCGGGCGAGACGCATCGCGAGCATTGGGAAAGTCGAGTTTGAAGGAGGAGGATGCGTCGCCAGACTACAGTGACCTGCCTGAGAGCGAGCGGAAGGTCCTTGACGACTGGCATTCATTCTTCATGTGAGGGTGTTCGACCTTTGACTGTGCGGACGCAACTAACAGTGATTACTACAGGAAACGTTACAATGTCGTCGGTCGCGTCGCTGACTTGCCTGCCGCTGTCGCAAACCTGTAAACCCCCGTATCCGCGTGTGAGATGTGAATGTATGATTAGAGATGTGCTCTCATCGGCTGCGTGGGGTCACCGGAGCGTGTGCCCACTCTTCTCATAGTCAACGCGAAGAACGCGCTCGCGTCCAATAATGAGCGAATCCGCCTATACGCGCGTCATGTTGTTCGTACTGACAGCTTCTGATTGAGCTTTGCGCCATCAAAATATTAGCGCCCTTGCACGAGCTCCTCGGGTAGCACGGCGAGGGTTATTTCCCACCTAGAAGCTCCTACCTGCAAGGTCCGTACAGCATTCCAAAGCCATGCACCGTATCTCCTTCTGTGCGCACTTGACTATTACCTTCATCATACTTTCTTCGATATGCCGATCCTGAATCCATCCTACCCCAAAAGAGCGCCCAGTGTCTTTTCCGAGTCTAGCACGCTGACTGGCGTCGACGATCTCTGGGATGAGGCTCTGGAGGAGTATAAGCGCATCACTGGCCTAGACCTGCGATCTTTGGACGATCCTCTTGCACGTCGTCTTGGCGCTTGTACATCCAACGAGGACGTCCTCAATGCGCTGGTGGAGACGGCTGCAGCCGTAGAGACCTATCGCAAGGGCGGGGCGATGGAAAGCTCCATCAGAGGAGCGCTCAAGCACCTCGTTCATGGCCTGTCTATTCTACTAGAGACCGGTGCTGAGGCGGCGAGCTCCTTGGTGCGTCCTCAAGTCTTGATATGATTAGCAACACAAGACTGATGCCGTGTTACCAGGCGATCCCGGGCGGCAAGGCTCCATTTGTCGCTGTGGCGGTGCTCCTCAAGGTCAATACCTACTTGCTTTCGCAGTCGTCTTCTCCGCTGATCCTGGCCCTTCACAGGCAGCGAAAGGCGTGAGCGCTAAACTGGACGATCTCGAGAAGCTTTTCGTACAATTCAACATCTACCTCAAACGCCTCAACGACCGATTGCGGGTACCTCTGGAGCATCATGCCAGAGCCATCGCTGTTGAGGTCCTGGTGGAAATGTTGAAAGCGCTCGCGCTCGCTACGAAAGTGATGCGCGAGAATCGCTTCAGTGCGTACAAATAAGATGTAGACGTGCGATCTACAACACTCACGATATCGCCCAGAGCACTTCTTGAAGGCCCTGTTCGTGGAAGGGAGCGAAGCTCGTCAAGCCGTGCAAAGGCTGGAGGACATCTTGACAAATGAGGAACGGACGTCGATTACCCACATAATCGTGGGCATGCATGCACTCAAGGAGGATCTTCTGGACGGTCTGTCTCATCCCTCGTCTCGGTGTATAATGCAGGAACTCATGCGTCCTCTTAAAGCACGACAGGGTGTCCACCGAGCGGTCGATGACGTTCAGATCACTGTCAATTATACGTCCGCACTAGTAGTCGATGTGCGGAATGAACTAAATACAAGTGCGGAGACACTCAGTACTGTTCATGCGGCATTTCTGATGCACGTCATAATAGCGAACACCCAATTGGCCGATCTCACGGCGACGATTGAGCTTCTCAGAATGCAGATAACGCACACAGATGCGGGACCGTCTGCAGGTTAGTTTCTTTCTCAGCTTGAATGAGAGCCAGATGTTTGACTAATCAATGCTATAAGTCGTGCCATCAGCAAAACCAGATCGATCTACCACGGACTTGCAAATGATTGGAATCTCGCTGTGGACTCAGTTCCAGCGACTGCTATCTGGGCTCAATGCAGATGACCGTACGATGATGCGTAGGGTGTTGGGGCTCGCATACATCATCGCAGCTGAGATGGTCGCTCGAACCTCCCCAGAGGCCGATACAACGGCCAGCGTCCTCGTGACGCGACCTATCGAAGTACTAACCATGTTCGCTCCACTAGCCTTCACCTTTATTCCGGTCTTCATGATGTGGAAAGTCATATCCCGACCCCCTGGATACCCTGCAGGAAGTCTGGTCATAATTGACGTCCATAGACGCCGCTTTGTGTTAGAAGACCCTGATATGTTTCTCAAGTAGAAGGTGGGCAGAATCGGTGCCGCTTGTCGTTCATTCCTGACGTGTGCCATCACAGGCTCTACATCAGTTCCTCCTGGTGAACTTTCGAGGAAAAACCGGTCTTCGTTACGTGGAGAAGGAAGAGTATCGATTCCATCATTCCGGTACAGATACCTTTTTCGGCCCAACGCAGTGGAACCAGTTTATACAACCGGGTCTTGATCTGAAGATCAAAATGAGCATTCTCGACCGCCAACTTGACGGCGAAGTTCATTGCCCCTGGTGCCATAGTTACGATGCATGTGCATTAGAGCCACCGGCTTATGAGGCTGGTTCACCCAAATGGTATGTGTGCTTCACGAGTTTGTATCAATTCATCTGAGTCGAGTTTGACACAGGCCATGTGAATCTTGTGGTCGTCGCTTTCATGCTGTAAAGGAAGATGCCAACTTGCTCTCTCCATACCGAGTAGTCCCTAAGCGGTACGTCGTGACGTATCGTGGGTGGGTATTCTCTGAAAGATCGTTTCAGGGATCTTCCGGACCGCATCCGATTCGGCCCAGTAAAGCGAGTGACACCAGGCGAGCAAACTGGCTGGCCCAGGATGAGTGACTTTCGACGTATCATTGTTGTCGCTTTCAAAGGAGAATCATGGGGTGATGCCAATCGTGATGCACTGGGAAGCAGACAGCTTATAACACCCATCTACAGAGGAGGATACACGAGGGCCGACACCGGCACACAACAAGCATGAAATACAGACAGATAGGGATACTCAGCAAGTCAAGGTAGATGCATGTGTCTTGCTCAAGGCCGTCAAACTATATTTATGCATGCACGTCTTTAGGTATATGAGCTATGGGGATCACGCTGGATCGAACGAGGCGTGGGGTTCTGTCTCAGCAACAAGGACATCACTCCTCGGAGGCAACTCGCATTCACTATCCATTCACTCTCGGACTTCACCCATGTAATCCTCCACCTGCCATTTAGCCAAGGCCGACAATGGAAACAATCACTCGGTGGGTAGGATTAATCGATGTCGCACTGTCGTTGTTTTACTGAAGCTAGCATATCATAGACACCGTGATCTTTTGGGACGATAAGTATGGAGGACATTTTGCGTTAAACTTCAGGTATCCTGAGGCTTGTTCAAAAACGTGGAAAAGTATATTAGCGAAGTGCACGCAACCCCAAAGAATTGAAGAACGGGGCTGGGGACCAAATTCGCACAGTAATCCTGTGTAGTCGTTGCGGAAATCATACACCGTTCACAGCTAGCTTATCACACGATCTAAATCGTTTCAAACCCTTCATTCACTAAAAACGCGCGTAGTAGCAGCTCCGATGGAAAGAGGCTTACACAAGTACGTACGGCATTACAATAGCGCGAGCTGTGTTCTATGATTGGGTACCTTTCCTGCTCTTCCGCTGCTCTGCGCATACTTGCGCTCGGTACATCGGGATGACGTCGAGCAGACAGACGAGTGACCCCGCGTTCATTGTGTCTAGAGAACTTCAACCTCGTTGGTCTCAGCATACATTAGTCGAGTCGTCGTCTGGTGCAGTATTGATGAACAGAAGATAAGCCGTGCAACATATGGATACACAACGCGCAGAAGCCGAACGCTAGGCATATACACAAAGAGGACAGTGAAGAGTCACACTACAATGCGCAGAAGGCGGACAAGAGTCCCTGCCACCAGCAGTGTCCACATGATCGTTAATCGTGCTGAGGCGCCATGCCCGCCTTCACGCGTACGCGCAGAGAACGTCGAAGCGGTCGAGAAACTTCGATGGACGCAGCTCGACGTCTTTTGACGGGCATTTGGTCGTCGACCTGACCATCGGCCTCGGTGTCGCGTTTGCGCTTGACCGATCGCGATTCTTCCTCGCTATGCGCTAAAGATGAGGGGACCAGCTGGGCAGCGCTATGTACTAGCGCGGTGCGTGTCGCACGGTGCCTCAAGCGGATCTGGCACGCGATCGTCGACTCGGCGGGAAGACGATGTACTCGTATCGAGAGTATCAACGACAGCCGCTAAATCTCGTTCTTTTGGTGGTACAGAAGGCGTGGGAGGTCGCGACGAATCACTGGAGAACACTGCATTGTCCACATGCAGGCGTTTCGACTCGCGCCCTTCGTCAGGGTCAACTTCACGCTGCCGTCTTTTCGAGGGATGCGGACACGTTGGAACGATCTCCGGCGGTACAGGCTCGCCAGCTTGAGCTAGTCCGGGCGAGTGGTGTATGACGGTCCCATCGTCCACGAGTCCAGGGCGGCTCCCAGAAGGTAGGAGAATGTCGTGAGGATCCGAGACCGTGATGTGAAGATGCGAAGGTGTGGACGAAGACGGCCTGTGATCTCGAGCCAAGCTGGCTGGAGGCGCGATACGTTTCGCGGACCTCTCGTCGTCGTCGTCGTCGCCGTCGTGAAGAGCGCGAGGGCGCTTCGACCCGGTATGTGTGGTCAAGCTGGACAGCGAACTAAGAGGTGACACTGCGGTTGGCGATACAAGTGCGAAGTTTGGCGGGGGCGAGGCATCAAGCATCGCACCCGGACGAATAGACGGGTCGTCAATATCTCTCAGCACTGTAGGACTGTGATCGACTGGTGTGTAGGGAGTTGACGTGGGTAGCACTTCGATGGTTGCGGTTGTTTCGGGAATGGTGCCAGAATCCCGTTCGTTGATAGATTCGTCCTCCGCGAGCCACGTATACCGAGCATAAACGTCCCGGCGTGGAGTGTGAGGTTCGGGCAGCGAGGCATCTGCGGGTGGCCGCGCGCCGTAGGCAACGGAGGAGAACAGAGGCCAGTCACAATGCAGTCCCACGGGGAGATTGTAAAAGCCCGACCACTGTTGCATCTCGGAGGGAGGAGAGCGAGTTCCGGGGACATGCTTGTAACGCACACCATCGCGCCAAATTATATCAGGATGATCCGCAGGAACATAGTCGGCATCTTCGGGTCCAGGAAAAACGCAATTGGCTAGACGAAGTCGTTTATTGGTATTCTGATGCGGGTGGAAGTCGACTGGTAAGGGCGGAATGTACAAGGGTGTCTGAGGTCGATCGGTCCGATCTAAAGAACCTCGATAGGTTCGATCGGTAACATGATTCTGCAGTAAGACAGCAGAATGGCTAGTAGCGCTGCATGAACAGATTATCAGACGGAGCTGAAATGATATACGGTAGATAACGCACCGTGATGAGCGGACATTTTCGAGAACACTGTGTACACGATCACACTCAGCGATCGATCGTCTTACAGCACGGACAACGGGAGGCAGCGCTGCTGCGAAGCCATCCATATGATACTCCTTATAAACAAATTCCAGTGCGTGTGGCCCTCCCTCCGCGCTTTCCCAAAACTCTCTCGGCTCCCACTCGAAAGCCGACCGTGTGTCGAGAGGAAGGGGAGTAAACATTACTCTATCCCGATCCTGAAGAGGTCGAGCTTCTCCATCCGCTAGGCGACGGTGGTTGACCTTCAAACTTCTGTGAGCTGGCGGTACCTCTTCGGTAGGTGTCCAGCGCAACTCACCCAAGTTCCATTCACCGACTTCATGTCCTCAATAAGCATTTGATGTCCATCCCAGATGAGTTTACTGTGTCTTCTGCCTGCTCTGATATGAGTTAAATAAGAGAGGATGATATGTGGTGCAATGCACGCACTCGTGTAGGACGCAAACTTTCCAGAAAGAACGAAGTCGTTCTCCGGCGTACGACCGATGATGTACTCTCGCGGCGCATTGGAGACAAGAACTCGGATGGGTCCAACCTTCGCTCGTAGTCGAGGTTCCTCCACTATTAACGCGATAGCGTCGGCCGCGTCGAGACTGGTATCAGGTAGGTTGAGCGAACCAATGTCAAAGATCTCCATTGTGTGAATTTGCACAGTCGGAAGATAGGCTGATCAATGTATGGGGGAAACCTATGTAGCGTGACGACGGAGAGAGCTCGATGCCAGGCGGGGGACAGGATACGCCGTGAAAGAAGCTTGAGGGTAGACCATATCGAGCTTGGTGGCGCGTTCCCACGTTTGAACAAAAAGGGCCCCAGTAAGTCCTCCCGTATTCGGTACAATAAGCAACAAGCATCATGATTCCAAAGCGAGCCGAATTCAAGGCTTCGTAGCCGCGGTGGAGGACGCACAGATTGGGAGGTCTGTCGCGCTTACGCGTCGGGAGATCCCGAAAGTTCCGCACGGCATTGTTCCGTGAGTTCAGGTGAGTGCCCACATCTTGCGGCGAACGGCCTAGCGAACAGCCACTGGCCAGGGACCCCCAATCACTCCGCCTTGCGAACTCGACGACGCGGATGCGTGCGCGCGACACGTCCAGGTCGTAGTAAGCCAGAGCCACTGCATCCGTTCCGTAATCAAACTCGCTTTGCTGGGAGTCACGTTGTATCGCACGAATGCCCGTTGATTACCCTCTACACAATAATACACCATCACATTCTTCCTACACAGTACTCTATCTAGGTACAGCCCACTCCTCTCTGGCCAGATCCCCTCCCTTCGCTCTCCATCCCGTCTATCGCGCTCCTCGCGCCTCATACGCTCCACCATCCTCGCACGCACATACAAAAGCAAGCTCACAACGACGCACAGCCCGATGAAAACAGCTGTCTTGAACACTTCATCTTCGTCCGCGATATGGATCTTCCGCAATATGGATCTCAAAGCTGAGCCCTATTCCTATGCTCCAGGTCGAGGATGATACAGCAGGAGTTCGTCGCTGCGGCCGTACCGTAGGCGTGTTGTATCTTGACAGTGTATAACGAGTCAACTATGTATCACGTTTGGAGCAGGTTCGAACTCCGGTCAGCCTATAGCATACATGTGTACATCCTGCGAAACAATCACGACTGTGGGATCAAGTAGAAATCGATATTTACACTACAATGCGTGGAAGGTGGACACGAGTCCACGCCACCAGCAGTGTCCACATGATATTCAATCATGCTGAGGCGCCATGCCCGCCTTGACGCGTACGCGAAGAGAACGTCGAAGCGGTCGAGAAACCTCGATGGGTACAGCTCGACGTTTTTTGATGGGTATTTGGTCATTATCTTGCTCATCCGCCTCGGCGTCGCGTTTGCGCTTGGCTGCTCGCGATCCTTTCTCGCTGTGTGCCGAAGATGAGGGGACCGGCTGGGTAGCGCTGCTTGCGCGGTGCGTGTCGCACGGTGCCACGAGTGGATCTGGTACGTGACCATCGACTCGGCGAGCAGACGATGTACTTGTATCGAGAGTACCGCTCACAGTCGTTCGATCTCGTTCTTGAAGTGGTACAGAAGGCGCAGGAGGTTGCAGCATATCGGAAGGAAGCGTTGTAGTGTCCATATGTAGGCGCTTCGCCTCCCGCTCTTCGTCAGGGTCAACTTCACGCTGCCGTTTCTTCGGAGGACGCAGACGCGAGGGGACAATCTCCGACGGCACAGGCTCATCAGTCCTCGGATGGACCATCGCAACGTGAGTTAGACTAGGGGAGTGGCGTATGGCGGTCTCGTCGTCCATGAGTCCAGAGTAACTCGCAGGAGGTAGGAGAACGTCGGGGAGACCCGAGGCCGTGTTGAGAGGATACAAGGACGGCGACGCCCGAGAAGGTCGCGCGCGGGTCTCGGAAGGAGACGACCCGAAGTTCTGAGCCAAGGTCATTGGGAGCGCGGCATGTTTCGCAGGCCGTTCCTCGTCGACATCGTCCGGTGAGCGATAGCGCTTCGACCTAGTATGTGTTGGTGAGCTGGGAGTTGGACTGAGTGGTGACGCCGCGGCTGGTGATGAAAGTCCGAAGTTTGGCGATGGCGAGTCGTCAAGCATCGCATCTGGATGTGCATCTCCCGACGCCCCAAACCCGTCACCCGACGGTGTAATGGGAGATGACCCAGGTAGATCGAGGGCCGATGTCACTTCGGGCACGATGCCAGGACCACCTCCGTCAATGAGCTCGTCGTCGTACGTATAGCGAGCATAAACGTCCTGGCGCGGGGTGTGATGCTCCGGTAGCGCCTCTTCCACTGACGGTCGCGCACCGTACTCAATAGAAGAGAATAGAGGCCAGTCGCAATGGAGCCCGACGGGGAGATTGTAAAAGCTAGACCATTGCTGCATCTCCGAAGGAGGACGGCGTGTACCCGGCACATGCTTGTAGCGAACGCCTTCGCGCCAAATGATGTCCGGGTGATCCGCAGGGACGGAGTCGGCATCTTCAGGTCCTGGAGTAATGAGAACGGCATGGTGAAGTCGTTTGTTCGTATACATGTGCGGGTAGAAGTCGATTGGCAAGGGCGGGATGTAAAAGGGGGTCTGAGGTCGATCATTCCGATCTAGTGAGCCTCGATAGGTTCTCTTGATACTAGTATCATGCGTGAATGTAGCGGGGCTGCTATCCGCGCTGAAGAAAGACTATCAGACAGATATGAAGGAGATACGACGGAAGACATACCAGGGCAGGCGGATACTCTTCATAGTTCTGTGTATGCGATCACACTCTGCAAGTGAAAGTCTTACAGCAGCAATGATGGGAGGTAGCTTGTCTGTGAGGTCGTCCATCTTGTATGCGTGGTACACGAATTCCAATGCGTGTGGTCCTCCCGCTTGGCTCTGCAGAAATTCTAAAGGCTCTGTTTCGTGGTCTGCCCGGTAATCAAGTGGAAGAGGAGTAAACGCGACTCGATCCCGGTCTTCAAGTGTGCGGACTTCGCCGTCCGCTAGGCGCCGTTGATTAACCTTTGAACCTCATTGAGCGGGTGGAGGCTCTTCAGTACGGAGCTAGTGCAACTCACCCATGTTCCGTTCACGGACTTAAGATCCACTATGAACATTTGGAATCCATCCCAGATGAGTTTACCATGTTTTCTGCCTAGTCTGATATGAGTCAGATGTATCATAATGGCATCTAATACAATGCACGCACTCGTATAATGCGCAAACTTTCCCGAGAGAACAAAGTCGTTCTCCGGCGTACGGCCAATGAGGTACTCTCGAGGCCCATCAAGGGCCAAGATTCGTATGGGCCCAAGCCTCGCTCGAAGTCGAGGATCCTTCGCAAGTGATGCAATGTCGTCGGTCCTGTCAAGCCTTGTATCGAGTGGAGAAGGCGAATCGAGCCAGTCGAGCCAGTCGAGCCAGTCGAGATCATCCATTGCGCGAGTCTGCACAATGAACGTACAGATTGAAATATTTCGACTGTCAGCTGCGACGACAGAAAGCTAGAGGTGCGGCGTGAAGGAAACCCCAACATGGATCATATTGCGCTGGGCGCGCGTTCCCACGTTTGAACAAAAAAGCCCATTCCAGGTCCTCCCCCATTGGGCACAATCAGCAACACGCGTCGAATTGCCAGATGGAGCCGATACATGGGTGCCGCCGCAGTGGAAGTGGTGGTGTATATCGAGGCTGGTGAGGTCTGCCATGACCGACTTCCGGCGGCGCGCGCCGCGCGGCGTGCGATCCCGCACGCGGCATTGTCTCACATCTTGTGTTCAACAACCATGTCCTCCCCATCGCTTCACCCGGTGAATGCATCGGCGGATATTCAGCGCGATGTGTCGATTCAAATACTGTATGAACGGCCATCCAAATGTCATGCGGATAGATTCGGTTGTATCAATCGACCTTGTCCACGACCAAAAGGCACTACTGATACCGCAACAAACGTATCTACTTCGTTTTTGTCATGTGTGGTCGACTTTGACCTCTGCATTGACCAAGCTGTGCTCTGCCTCTTGTTGCCAAGTGCGCGACCCTTGTAACGCCGACTCTTGTCTGTTGTTCTCTCGCACCACACCCTCTTCTTCTAGAACGGTGGCTCCGTCACTGTCGTGCATAAATACTGGAGAGCTCAGTTCACCTCTATCGACACATCTCCATTCTCTGCTGGGCAGATATGAACGTCATTCTGACAATACCGCGCGCTCTCACTGTGCTGTCTCCATCTCTGCCGACATTCGGGCATCTCACATTCAGTGCACAACTCGTACCATTCTTAGACTCCGACCAGGAGTACGGACAATGCCAGAACGACAGGCTTGTCATCAGTGCCCCTTCTCTGGATAGGCCTGTGCAAATCGGAAGGCTACGTGATGGAGCAGGTGAGATCACGCATCCGGTGTTGTAACGGCGTTCTTGACCCTCTCTAGATTGGTTTACTCTTACCTGGAATCGAGCCACCGAATTTGATTCGTCGACTTTCAGTATCGCCTGCAGTCGGAACGGGACTATGACGGTATGTCGCTTGCTCAAACGGGACTGTGTGCTTCAGACGTTGCTGACTGAGTCATGGGTGTTCAGATCCACGGCATACCGCTTGCTGCAAACCAGTCAAAGAAGCTTCAGGACAACGACACCGTCGAGTTTCGGGATACTCGCTCATCTTTTCGTCTCATATTCTCATACCGCAAGAAATACGTCTTCCGGAGTCCGAGATCCACGCTCTATGACGTGGTCAAGTTGGCTGGCGAGGGAGGGAACGGCGCAGTCTTCTTCTGTCGCCAGGCCGGGGTTGGTCGCGCGGTCGCGATCAAGTCAGCTCAAGCGCCATCAGTGAATGCCGACGGAACGCAGCCTCCTTCTTCAGAAGCACAAGCGCTGGCATTGATATGGATGGAAGTCAAGAAGCAGAACGATCGTTTACCTGCTGGTGCTAGGTGGCCCGAACCTAACATTGTGAGGATGTATGAGCAATGGGCGTATGCGCAAACTCATACCCAATGTGAGCGATGCTACGGGACACCCCTTTATCCAACGGGATATCCTAACGTCGCTTCTCCTAGACATTGTCATGGATCTCGCCATTGGCAATCTATTCGACCTGGTACCCTCTGTCTCTGTCGATGAGCGCTCAGTTGCACCTTACACGATACGTTTACGTGAGTGCTAGCGCGACGAAACCCTTCCATATGAGCTCATCGAACTTTCATGTCTGTAGCCGAGAATAAGGTTCTATCGGCCGCGAGGAACATTGTGGATGGGCTGATGGTACGTAGTTCATCGGGCAGTCGAGTTCTATTTTGCTCAGGGCTCACGAGTCTTTTCTACTAGTTCATACATATGTTGGACCTGGTTCACGGTGATATCAAACCCAACAACTACTTGCTCCACGTGCCACTAGATCCTACCACTGGTATGTATCGCGTGATTCTTGCCGACTTTGGGTCGTGTAAGCGCATCACCGCCTTGAAGAAGATGTCGGTCGCAAAGGTGAGAAAACTCAGGACCGCAGTCATCTGGCATATCTGACTCTTTGTATAGAAACCTTACATCGGCACACCCGGTTACATGGCCCCTGAAGTGGCGAGTCCATCCCATGTCTACACGCCTTTGGTGGACGTCTGGGCTGCTGGACTGACAATATACTACCTGTGCGTTTTCCATCGCCGTACTCTCCCTGAGCGTATATCACCTGATACTGACGTTACGACCGACAGCTTCACGGGGGTCTCACTGTTCAGATCGGCCACTGCGGAAGACGTCCGCAAGATAGCTGAAGCGAGTAAACACTGGACAAGGCTGGAAAGGACGGAAAGCATCAGTCTTGGAGGTGCGTTGCAGCTATCTGCGTGTACTGAGCTCTAGTATTGAATGGCGTTGGCAGCTATCTCATTCTTGAGGGGATGCCTAGAGCTGGATCACAACAAACGGTTCAACTCCCTCGCGGCTGCCTCCGATCCTTGGATCTACTCTGTAGAGAGGGCGAATCCTTTGCTGGACGCCATGGCGGAGCACATGAAACGAGGGTCCGAGGCTCCCGCACAAGTCCAGAAGCGAGCGCGCGATCAGATCTCCAAAACCCCACCTGAGCACGGTGACCAGAAGCGCGCTCGCGACACGCTTCTTCCCTAGGTGCCTACAGTAATACAACCTTCTCTCTCGGACATCAGACTGGAACGGTCATATTTTGCCACTGCGTGTACGCCCTACTATACCCACTCTCCTCGGATAACCGGACATCTGTATCACGTATCACACTCATTTTTGTATACCTGGGACACTGTATCCATACTATATCGAAACTCGCATCGATAATCATCTACATTTGTTTCGGCGGTGCATTCGCGTTCAACCGTTGCCCCTCTCACACTCAATGTCGTATGCGCACCCGGCGATCTATCTGCACGCACTATTCGTGCTTCACTCAGTATAGGATACAGAATATCACATATCGTATTCTTTCTGCGTGCGCCGATCTATCTAGGTACAGCCCACTCCTCCCTCGCCGGATCGCCCTCCCTCCGCTCTCCATCCCGTCGATCGCGCTCCTCGCGCCTCATACGCTCGACCATCCTCCCACGCACATACAGAAGCAAGCTCACGACGACGCACAATCCAATGAGCACGGCCGTCTCGAACACCTCATCGTCGTCCGCGTAATCTTCGCGGTTCGGACGCAGTGCGCCGTCAAAGTAGTCTTCGGGCCCGTAGTCGGTATCACGGTCGCGTTCTTCACGCCGGCGCTCGTAGGCCCACTGTAAGGGTGTCAGCGTCGTCCATATACTATGAAGAAGAGACGATGTACCTTGATAGGGTCGTCGTCATCATCGCGCGCGTCGGACCCAAGACGTCTACGATTGAACTCGTCCCGCGCACGACCCATATACCATCCACCCTCATCATCGCCCTCCCCATACCTCTCCTCAGCCTCCTGCCTCTCCCTCTGCTCCTCCCGTTCCCTCTCCCTCTCCCTAGCACCCTCAATCTCCCTCCTCGCGCCCTCATCAATCTCCTCGTCGCCCTCGCCCTTCCATATCCCAAGGCCGCCCTCGCGGCCTAACAGCGTATGCCACGCACTCCGTGCATATAGCTTGGCGAGCGATATGGTGACGGGGAGGTACGCCTCGGCATTCGTCTCGAGCGCCCCGTCGTAATGCCGTTTCGCAAGATGGAAGTCCTGCGGCACGCCCACGCCGTTCTCGTACATCCACCCCAGATTCCACATCGCGAGCGCGCTCAACTGCGTGTCCGCAGCGCTCTGATAATACGCCGCCGCGCGCGCCGCTCGTTCGTCTGCGCTGAGTGCGCTCGAAGAAGAGGCGGAAGAGGGAGAGGTGGATGTGGATGATTCGGTGGGTATGCCGAGGCCGTGGAAGTAGTAGTCGCCGACTTTGACGAGCGCGTCGACGTTGTTCTGTGCGGCGCTGCGCGTCCACATCTTAAGCGCGTCTTGGGCGGCGTCGAGAGATGTCGTCTCTCTCGTCAACATACTGCGATCCGCGTCGAGCGCCCAGGCCACATTATTCTGCGCCGCCTCGACACCGCGTTCAGCTGCGACGCGCCAGTGCATCAGCGCAAGCTCGACGTCGCCACGCTCGTATGCGAGCTCGCCTGCACGGAGGTCGTCGCGGCCCCATGCTGCTGTGTCGGGTGTGGGCCATGCCGCCCGTTCGGCGGCGACTTTGAAGAAGGATGTGGCCATGGAGCAGGTTGCGGCGCGCATGGCTGGTTGGACGCTGTTGAGCGTGCGGGAGTGGATCATGGCGAGGTGGTAGTAAGCTTCGAAGGGCGAGCCGTGGCGCATTGCGGATTCGAAATACATCGTTGCGAGCTTGAGGTCGCCTTTTTCTGTATACGACTGTCAGTGAAGAATCGAGATAGGGTATGCGGGTTTGACTTACGGGCAGCGTGTTTCCCAAGGTTCACCTGCGCCTCAGCGAGCTCCTGGCTAGCCGCCGTATGGAAATGCGTAAGCGCCTTGCGAACATCCTTGCGCCCATCAATCACTCCGTCCCTCCAAATAATCCCAAGGAGGTTATGACACTCCTTATCACCATACTCCGCGCCTCTCTCAGCCCACATCCGCGCCTTCCTCCCGTCCTTCGGCACACCTTCTCCTCTCAGATGCATACGCGCAAGAAACGCAGCCGCAGCCGCCTGCAGACCGACGCCGCCCTTGGGCTGGTCATCAGGGTTGCGCAGCTTGAGGTGCTGGAGAGGATCGCGCGGGTCAACGGGCCAGACGCTCCGTGCGAGCTTCTCGAAGTAGTACCGCGCACGGCCAAAGTCGCGCGGGACGCGCATGGCGCCCTCGCCGCCGGACGCGATGCCGCCGGGTGCGGAGTAGATTGATCCTTGGTAGAAGATCTTGCCGAGGCGGAAGAGGAAGTCGGGTTCGCCGCGGTCGGCATTGTACTGTTGCGAACAATGAGCGTCTATCAGCGCAAGTGCGGGAAGGCGCTTACCATATAGTACTCGACAATGTCTTCCCACGTCTCGCCTGCCGCCTGTGCTCTCGCAGCTTTCACTACCGCACGCAATCCACTGATGCCTGTACTGGCAGCACTAGCGCCCGGCCCGAACACGCCGCCTTGCAGATCGCTCATCCGCACACTCGTAAGCGGCAACGTCCGTCCACCCGGCGGCCCACTCAGAAACTTCGCATAACTCTGCTCCGCCGCCGCCTCGTACCACGCCACAGCCTTATAGCAGTCCTCTGCGACGCCAATCCCGGACCAGTACCTGGACCCGAGCGCCATCTGAGCGGACTTGCTGCCGGAGATGGCTGCGAATGTGTAGTAGGTCTGGGCGAGGGATTGGGAGTGGGTGACGTTTGGGTGGTGGACGGCGCTGTGGAGGACGCCGAGGTAGAATTGGGATGTTGCGTTGCCGGTTGCGAGGGCGTGTTGATGGAAGGAGTCGTATGCTAGGGGGAGATCAACTTGGAAGTGGTGTGTCGGTGGGAGCTATGGAAGTGGCATCAGCGCGTTTGTGCGTGTATACAACATGAAAGAACGTACAAGACCGATCTTGGCCAGGGTGAACAAAGCATCCATATGTCCAAGCGACGCAGCGTGACTGAGCAGGTCCAGCACTTTGACCGCTCTTCTCTCCTCCTTCTCCTTCTCTCTCCCTCGTCTCGCCTCGCCCCACGCGAGTGTTCGGGTGATATATCCCGAAGCTTGCTGTCGTAGCTTGCTCACTATACGGATCGCATTGGCCACAGGTCCTGGTCCCTCCGACAGGCGCTGCGGGAATAGTTGCGCTATGAGTGCGTCGAGGGAAGAGCCGGTATGGGAGTGGGCTGAGAGTGGTGTGGGTGTCGGTAGGGATGCGAGGCTGCGAAGTGCTGAGACGGCTTGTTTGTACGCGCGTTCGGCTTCACGCGAGTTATCGTCCTACAAGACGGATAAGCCCGTTGAACTAGACTAGTATGGGTTGAATGTGCGTACCAAGATTGCAGGGGTAGCCGAAGCATCAGGCGACGAGTATGTAGTCTGCATTACAAAAAGTCAGACTCAATATCACACCACCCTGAACATCGCGCAACGTACAGCAGATGCAGCATCTTCGCCGTAGGTAATTTGGCCCTTAGCACCAGGGTATTCGGCCGCTCGAGATGCCGCCGCGAGAGCTACCAGTCCGAAAGCCAGCCAGGTCGCTTTGCGCCGTTTCGAGTCCGCCCAAGCCATGACGCGCGTCAACCGAGTTGCAGATAATTCCGCGAGATATAGGCAAGCACGATATCACTCAGCAAGCTGCCCGGTATGACAACTTCGCGTAAGCCTAAGTTAGAGACTGTGACCGGGCCTCAGAGCAAGATGAAGCATATAAATGGTGGATGCACAAGGCAGAGGTTCGTTCATACGAGCCATCGTAGGCGCGGCGTGGTCGCGTGTAAACGCGTCGTGGCACTTCGGCGCACCGGTCCGAAAGTTCAGAAACACGGTGAACGGTCCACCGAAGTTCAAAGTACGAACGCGGGCTGCTCTCAGACTCTGACCACGACCATCTACCGAACTCTCGCCTTTCTACCTATTCAGTGCTCCGTGGAACTTTTATGAATTCAATTTGCCGTAGGAATCGTCGGCACTCTGAGCCCGCGCTTACCGTTATTGAACACCCGACTTTTCGTCGGAATCTTGTCCCGCAGTCTTTAGATCGATTTTGGAGGACCCAGATAGCGGATGTCATATATCTGCACGCTATGATAGAAGAGGACACTACAATGTAAGTACGAGTAGGAATTTCCCGAACGCCGCGCCCGTTGGCCCGTTGTGGCACTTCGGCATCCCGGTCCGAACCCCACACCTCGCAACCCGAAAGTCCAAACCGAGCGAGAACCATCATCACCGGTACCGTACACGCCCACCGCGGGCCCGCGCCCGCACCCGCCTGAGAGCGAAAGCTCTACACATCTTCATATAACAACTTCCCGCTATTGATGAACTGTGTCGCCTGTCAACCGCCTCCAGCTCATGATTTCATGAACGCGTGCTGCTACCATCTTTTCATCCTGCGGTGCTTCATCTGCGTTTTGTGGCGACCCAGGCGGGGGCTATGGGTAATCGTCGGGTATAGATCACTCTATCTGCGGGTTGCGATGCCTCTTTTCGTATACGAATGAATGATGCGTCGGTGCTGCGTACCACAATGCCGCGGAATATGAATGCGTACCGGGTCTTTGTGACCCCAGGGTCTTCATCTCGCCTCGTATAAGAAGCCTCGCGATGTCCACCCCGCCTGCGCCCCACATACCTCCCCGACACACTTCCCCAAATAGCGACTCTGAGAGCCACTATGCCCGAACCCGTGCGCTTCTTCAGCCAACACGTCCCGCTCCTCGATCCGCTGTCATTCGACGACGCGCTCTGCTTCGACGCGCGCCTCGAGCCGGCTTTACACGCTGATCTGCGGAACGGGCCTGATGTTAGGGCCGTACCGGTCGATCGGGAGTCTGGGGTGAAGCCGGGGATGAGGGGTGTTGTACGGGGGTTACGGTATGGTGATGGTGATACCGGTGAGTATGTGCAGTTTTCAGTCGTATACGGTGTGCTGAGACATGTTTGCTATCATGCACAGATGAGTGCAGCTTCTTCTGGAACGAGGTCAAAGACTTTACGACGAGCATGCTCTACATCCTCCCCGGCGCCTCCCATCTCTGGGTACATCTCCCCCTCTCACCACCGCACACACATCGTAACCCCCTCCACAGGTAAACGCAACGTACATCCCCCCAAAAACACCGCACCTCCTGCACGACAACGACCTCATCCACCTACACTCACCCTCCCTCTCCCAACCAATACACACCCGCTTCATCTACCGCCACACGCCCTTCCTCGGCTGCCCCAACACACCGCTAGCGTTCGACGTCCTCGGCAAGCTGGGCAGCGGGAGCTCGGGCGTCGTTAAAGAGTGCAGGGACCAGCATACGGGCGAGAGGGTCGCGGTCAAGGTTATCAAGGCGCAGGAGGGTTCAAGTTGCGGGGTGGGGTTTTGTGGGGGGCGGCCGAGGGAGTACGCGGTGTTGCGGGAGCTGTGCAATCCCGAGGCCGTGGAGAGGTATCTCGCTGAGAGTGGACTTGAAGAGCATGAGCTTGCGGTGGTGAGGTGTCGGGCGCTGTGGTTCGATAAGAGGCGGAAGGAGCATCGTGAGTTGGCCGCTTTGCACGCCGTCGCGGGGGTGTGAGCGCTTACTGACGTGTTGCTCGACAGACGTCGTGTACCCGCTCGCGCGCACCGATCTCGACCAGATCGTCACAACCAACGGCCGGCTCTCCGAACGCACAGCGCGATCCGTAGCGAAACAGCTCTGCACCGCGCTTCGAGTCCGTTTACTCCCTCTCCAACCTTACCATTCCTCCTCAGTCACTGACATCACGCACAGTACCTCCACGCCAGCCAGATCGTCCACTGCGATGTCAAGCCCGGCAACATCCTCATCACAGGCCCGGGCCCAACACCGGCGCCACACGACGATCTGCGCGTCGTGCTCGCGGACTTTGGGTACGCGTTGTGGGAGCACGAGATCCCGTCTGTACCGCGTGTACGTCGTACATTCCACGCACAACAGGCAACACAAGTATATGCTGACGTCGAATGGCAGGCCATGGGCACGCGCGGGTGCAAAGCGCCCGAAAGCACAAACTTCAAAAAGTGCGGCTCGGCGATCGACATGTTCGCGCTCGGCGCCACGATCTTCTTCGCGTAAGCACAATTCATATCAACCATGCCCATACTCTAGTAATCGGGTATGAACAGACTGACAGGCCGCTTCCCGTACGGATACAAAGACCCAGGCGAGATCATCATCGATGCGCGCCAGCTGTCTGTTTGGCCGTTGTTGGAGAGCGTAGGCGTGAGCGCAGCCGGTACGATATCATCTACCATATCATGTTCATGTCATTTCGATTTCATTTGTCTGACTACGCGTTGTGGGTGGGAATAGGACAGGATTGGATTGCGCGGGCGCTGTTGCTTGAGCCGAGAGAGAGAATGAGTGCGGATGAGGGGTTGAGGCATGCGTGGATTGGGGGTGGGGAGCTGGTAAAGGCGGATCTCGGTGCGCCTAAAGAGGGCGGCGAGCAGTGCGCGTATGCGTACGATTCGGACACGGACTCGGAGCCAAGCCAGGATAGTGACGATGATGAGGATGAAGACGGAGTGGTAACATGCTACGCATGTGGTGCGAAGCGAAGGCGCGCGGGATCGGATACGGGATCGGAGACGTTGGAGGGGAGCGAGCAGGAGGCGAAGGATGGAAAGGACGTTGACACGTAGGTGTACATTTTGGGCATCGTAAGCAACTGTTGTATCCATAGAGTGAGAACGTCGACGTCAAGGGATGGCTGGTTGCTGTGCGTGAGGAGCTCGGAGGCATGTTGGAAAGAGCGCAGGGCCGCAGGCACGGTAAGGAACGGTATGCATGGTCGGAGCGGGAGGTCTTGCGAAGAGCATGCGCAAAAGAACACGAGCAGATCCTGCACTGTGAGGCTAGCGATGGCCCTGGTCGGGCAACGTTGGGACTGTATGAGGCCATCTGTATATAGACGCGCGCCAAGCGGTACGTGGTGGAGGAAGAGAAGGAGGACGGAAAGACCCGAGCTGCGGGATCATGACGACCCGACGGCCTCGACCTTTAGTTTTCCCACGTGGACGGACGGGCCTCACAAGCCGAGCCAGTAGCTTTGTTCTCTTTCTTCTTCTCCAGCTGCAACGGCTGCTTGACCGCTCTCCTCCACCGCACAACACGGACTCGCCGACCGACAACCAGGCGTCTTATCACACAACTTTATTCGACTCGCTCTGAGAGCGTCGTTCCGCGCGCCGTCGCGTCCACCTTCCCTTTCCGTCCTCCCCGCACCCCTTCGCGACCATGTCCAACATCACAGAGACCATCTCCGCGAACCTCGACTCGAGGAATATCTCCCCCAGGGCTGTCGGCTCCCAGGTCGCGCTTATGAGCGCAATATCCGTACGTTGCCCCAGAGCTCTTGCATCGCCTGTGGTCTAATTGTTGCGCGCAGGTGGGAACCGTGCTCGTCTTCAACATCCTCAGGCCGAACAACAAGGTCAATACCTCTCACACTCTGCTATCTGTCATCCGAGTGGGATACGGGCATGGGTTGCCCGTTCCTGCCCTGGTCTCCAGTACCCCGCACGTCGAGCACCCCAAGATCAGAGCCGGCGCTTCTTTGTCCGGTTCCGCGCTCTCGTTGCTCTCAACCGTTCAAGCGAAATGGCGATGCGTAATTATGAGCGCGCGCGTCATGCTTGTTTACTCGTCGCTGGCCCCGTACCGTACATCCGGTGCAGCCGTTGCTACCGCCCGCCAAGTTATGCTGTGCAGTACCCCCAACGGCAGAACAAGGGTGGCTGCGACGTGACCTACTCTGGTGCCGGGCCTCACGGTCCTCGAGGTTTGGATCGCTTCTGCGAAACGAACAAGTCGTAGGCGCCCAGCAGTGTGGCCCCGTGGGAGGTTGCGCAGTTGGCGGCGATAGCAATTCCACTTCCATTCATGTCTGCGCGTCTATTCTCGGCGCTGATCATCTTTCTGTCCTCTAGGTCATCTACGAACCCAAGGTCAAGTACCATGAAGGCGACAAGACCCCTCCGCGAATCTCCAGTGGCATCTTTGGCTGGGTCTCGCCATTGCTACACACAAAGGAGCCCGAACTCGTCGACAAGATCGGTCTCGATGCCGCCACCTTCCTCCGTTTCCTGCGCATGATGCGCTGGATATTCACCGGCATCGCCCTCAGCACCTGCGCCGTCCTCCTGCCCATCAACATCACCTACAACCTGCGCTCCGTTGAATCGTCCGACCGTGATGTGCTGAGCATGCTCACGATCCGGAACGTCGGCGGCTACTGGCTCTTCGCGCACGTCGCCATGGTCTACGTCATCACGCTCATCGTCTTCGCCGGCATCTGGCTGCACTGGCGCTCCATGGTCCGCTTGCGGCGCGCGTTCTTCCGCTCGCCGGAGTACGTGCAGAGCTTCTATGCCCGCACACTGGCCGTCACGCAGGTGCCGAAGAAGTACCAGTCCGACGAGGGCGTGCGTGCCTTGTTCGAGAGCATCAACGCCCCGTACCCGACCACGAGCGTGCACATCGGTCGCCGAGTCGGGATCCTGCCCGCGCTGATTGATCATCACAACGACACGGTCCGCAAGTTCGAGCAGGTGCTCGTGCACTACCTCAAGGGCGGCAAGATCCGCAAGGAGCGCCCCACCATCCGCATCGGCGGCTTCCTCGGCATGGGCGGCAAGAAGTACGACGCGATCGATTATTACACGGAGAAGTTGCGGGAGACGGAGGCGAAGGTCGAGGCGTACCGCGCGCAGATGGATACGCGCAAGCCCGAGAACTACGGGTTCGCGTCGATGGCCGCTGTTCCGTACGCGCATATCGTCGCGCACCAGCTGCGTCGCAAGAAGGCCAAGGGCGCTATCATCGCGCTCGCGCCGAACCCAAAGGACATCATCTGGGAGAACATGAACCGCACGCCCGGCGAGATCACCTCGCGCCGCACGATGGGCTGGTTCTGGATGGTCGTCGTCTCCTTCCTCAACACCGTCCCGCTCTTCGTCGTGTCCATCGTGGCCAACTTGACGTCCATCGCGCAATACGTCACGTTCCTCGAGAAATGGCAGAGCGCGAGCCCGAACAGCTTCGCGTTCGTCTCCGGTGTGGCTCCCCCGGCCATCTCTGCCATATTCGGCTTCTTCTTACCCAGGTTGATGCGCGCGATCAGCGAGTACCAGGGCGCGCTCACGCATTCGCGCCTGGACCGCGCGATCGTCGCGCGCTACTTCGCCTTCCTCGTCATATCTCAGCTCGTCATCTTCACGCTCATCGGCGTGGGCTTCAACGCCGTCTCGCAGATCGTGTCCGAGATCGGGAAGCACAAGTCCTTCCAGGACATCATCAACTCGCTCGACACGCTCCCGGCCACGATCAACGCGACGTACATCGACCAGAGCTCGTACTGGCTGACGTTCTTCCCGCTCCGCGGCTTCCTCGTCATCTTCGACCTCGCGCAGATCCTCAACCTCGTCTGGATCTCGTTCAAGACGCACGTGCTCGGCCGCACGCCGCGCGACCACCGCGAGTACACGCGCCCGCAGGACTTCGAGTACGCGACGTACTACGCGAATCTGCTGTTCATGGGCACCGTGGGCCTGGCGTTTGCGCCCTTAGCGCCGCTCGTGGCGGTCGCGTCGGCGATCGTGTTCTGGATGTCGAGCTGGGTGTACAAGTACCAGCTCATGTTCGTGTTTATCACGCATGTCGAGACTGGAGGAAGGCTGTGGAACCCGGTCGTCAACCGGTTGTTGTTTGGCTTGATGATGATGACTGCGCTTATGGTGCTTACGATCGGGCTGCAGTATGGGTGGCAGAGCTATGCGTGGGTGGCGACCATTCCGCCGTTTGTTATGGTTATTCTGTTCAAGATCTATATCAACCGGGTACGCCATTTTCACTGCTTATAAATCTGAACGACAATGCTAATGTTGTGTGTATAGGTCTTCCACCACCGCTTCAGGTACTACACGCCCACCGAGGACGAGCTCCGCGTCGCCAAGATCCACTCCGAGCGCGCAGATATCAAAGGCAACCGTCTCGAGAAGCGCTTCGGGCACCCCGCTCTCCACGCCGAGCTCTTCACGCCCATGCTGCACGCCAACATGATGCCCCTCCTCGCGGAAGTCTACCACGGCAAGATCGCGCGCCCGGGCACGACCAAACTCGAAGAGTACGGCGGGCAGGAGCTCCAGGCGCAGGTCATGCCTGGCGGCCTGCGGATCGCCGCGGTGTCCCAAGGCGACCTGGAGTACGACCCCGCGCTCTTCAGACGCGACCGCGGCGAGCTCGACTGGGACCAGCGCTCTATCGCCACCACGGCCGTCCTGGGCAAGGGCGGCGCGGACAACGCGAGCCTGTACACGACGAAGCAGCCGTTCGGCGGGCGCGAGCAGTACCTCGCGCACGGGCCAGGCGCGTCCGAGATCGAGCTCACGCGGTTCGATAACGATAAGATCCCGCTGTTGCCGCCGACGCTCGCGTATAACCAGAGCTCGGCGAGCTTGCCGGGGTACCCGCCGTCGAGGACGGGGACGCCGACGCCGCGGTTGGATCCGGACGAGCTGTTACCGCCGCCTGGACCGCCGCCGGGGCCGTATCAGGCGTACGCCAGTCAGAGCAATGTGGATCTGGGGAGCTATCAGCAGTATCCGCCGGGCGTGTATCAGCCGGCGTATGAGAGGGAGGCGCCGATGCATAGGCCGCAGGG